TTTGCAGCCTATATTTGGTATTCACTGTATATACCTACATGACCCTGAAAGTGCTATAAGCTTTTCTGTAAGCTGACTATACTGTAGAAACCCAAATACGTCATTGCATACGGAGATAGTAAATCTTCTCAACGTGACGTATTTCTTTCAATTAAATCAGATTAAAAAAAAGTTGACCTAGACCTAGAACAGCCTTTGTTGTGATGTTATTCAAGGCCATGCAATTATAGTAAGACTACAGGCAAATCAATAATATCTTCATATTCTAGAACATAAACTGTTTCGATATCGATTAATAAGGTGAATGCATTGAGGCTTTTCGATACCCGTTTTTCTAAAGTCAATGACAGTCTTGCCGTCCTATAGGTGCAGCCCTACCGACCTAGGGCTATATATCTATGCATGCATGCTATTTGAAGATCGATATGGTAGCTTTTTCTACATCTCATGTAGGACTATGTGTTGAAATAATATCATGCATGCATAGGTAGAATAGCGGCTATACGTAGAATGATTCCTCGCATTCAGTTATTCAAAAGCTTTTAGTTTTTGTATTGAATCACAAATTACAGAACTATATCTTCATGACAATGACCTTTACAATGTTAAAAACTTTATTATAACATGTAAGTGTTAATTTTTTGTAAGTTTGTCTTCCTCAAAAATTTGGTAAAACTGATTTAACCGAAAATGATTTTAAACGTATCTAATATATTGTGCCAGTTTATGGCGAAAATTTTCAGGCTGTAAACCGGCGACTGAGACCACAAATAGAATGTACAAGAAAGTATGTCTTATCGATTAGAAAAAAGCCTTTTGCCTGATTTAGTTATTTTTTTGCAAACTGGGATATTTGCCTGCATGCAAAGCCAACTCAATTATATAATACTGGGATCTTCATTATCATGATTAGTTCTGCTTAATGTGCAGTAGGTCAAATATATATTTCCATAGCTATAGCATAATATATGTTTGATGATAGTACATTTATCATAGATATTCTGGAGTACGGGTTTTGTTGAAGGTTCACCGGAGGAGGAAAAGTAAGATAAATTTGTGTGTGAATGTTCATTATGTCGCAGTCATATGCCTGCAGGCTAGGTACATATGCCGTCTATTCAAATTCAACCTTCCCTCATTTCCCTCCCACGACTGAGGTTGATTAGACTTTTAAAATTATTTATATAAGTTAAGCCGGTTATATAGGCGACAGGTTCTTACTTGACAAGTTTATTTACACACATGATCATGAGGGTTTTATACTTCCCTTGTTATTCTGGACAACATTTGCCAAGTTACCAGGGTTGATAAAACTTCTCAAAATAAAACACATGCATGTCAGAAAATATACTTGCATGTCGTTCTGCATCTCTTTTGAAACTCGAAATCATTCATGAACTGTTCACGTGAAATAGATAAACAAAATTAGCATTGCAGAATGGGCATGTATTATATAATTAGTTTCGCCTTGGAAGCAAAATTGGCTTAGGCAATTCAGAATTTCGAAGTCTTGTCCAGAGTCGTTCTTGTCCTATGCAATAACTGCTCCGTATTTGTAGATGTATATTGAAATTTGAGACCATATTTAAATGCGTGCACTGTGCACATACCCCCCAAAAGAATACTTTATTCAGTTATCACTTTAATCATGAACCTATTGTTCATTAATCTAATCTCATTCATAATAAAATGCATTCAACACTCTGTAAATCACCCAAAATAGCATAACTGACAAATATTTTTAAAAGCCTCATTTCCATACAATTCACTAGCGTGGCACTTCTTTATGCAATATCAACTTATGCATGCATGCATGGACTGATATTTATATCTTAAAATTTCAAGTGCCTTTGCTACATCACATGACACAAAGTATATGGCTAAATGTTTACATATACACATATAGTACATGTATTTCTTCCTAAATGTTTACATATACTGTAAAGATAACTGTAAAGATCACTGTAATAACTTTTTTTATGGAATTTCGATTAACTATCACTCCTCTCGAGCATTAATTCAATTTTGTTTCGTATCCAAATACATGACCAATTCGAAATTTGCAAACCGAAAGAATGTTGGATATCTTGGAAAGAAAAGTCACAGATAAAATTTCATAAACGAATTAACGGTCATTTTAAGCATTGTAAGCGATATTTACAATGCAACAATAGACATTGCAGTTTAACACGAGTAGTTTAAGATTCGGTTTTGTTGGCAGGTGGTGGGTGCATGCCATGCATGCATGAAGCACTAACAGTCCACTCTCTTCTGAGAGAGAAATTTCCTACTAAATTACGTAAGCATAAGCGACTTCAGTTTGCTTTCAGTTTCCTGCTGAATTTTCTTTGTAATTCCATGCACTAATCTATATATTGACGCAGCACAGTCAATTTATACTTTAATATTCTTTATTATTAATATGCAATCCAATATTACTATTATCGATCGACATGGTAATGCATGAAAACTGCATGTTTTCCATGTTGGAGGTCGTTTTAAGGTTTTGGGCGTTTACACTACGCTTATTTAAATATGGGCGTTTACATGCACCACGCTGATAATAATTTACCTCATATTGTTCTATTTCAGCCTACTAAAATGATATAGCTATGACTGCAATTTCAGTTGATGACAACTACAGATGAACCGCGTGCTAAAGCGACAGTCTTTGTAGATTCTTAACTCGAAAATTTAACCTTCTTATAAAATGCAAAGTCGGTCTCTTTATTCGTTCTAGTTAGTCATATGTTTTGAATATTTATAGGGAAATTGTAAATATTAAAGGTATATTTCTGGTACTGCATGTTTTATATAAAATACCACTGAGCCTAATCCAACTATTCGCCAGAACGTGAAGCCATAGGCATAGAAAATACTAAATATGAGTGACGTTCTCTCTGATCAAATTCATTTCAAATTAAGTGTTCTTGATATTGTCGATGTGTGTCGCTGAAAAGTTCATTAAAAAGTAGTTGAATTTTTAAAACCTACAAGGGCTGTCAGCGGAAAGGGGGTGGTGGGAGAGGCTGGAGCGCATAAACCAAGGCAAATCTTTTGACGTAAATCACCTTGAGTGTTCGTGAACGAATATATATATTGTTTCTTTTCTCAGGCTGTTTATGCTAATCGAGTATAAGAGTTATTGGCCTTGCACTGATGCCCTTGGCCATGGCCTGTCAACATTAAAAAGATGACGACGTATTCAGGCCTGAGAATGGCGTTTACCGTCTCAACTTTCAAAGGAAAACAAAGTGAAATTACCTCATGATCGCGTCACTTCCTGACGTATACGAATCAAAATGGGTATGGGTAAAAGGCGGAAACGGAAAAGCGGAAAAACGGAAAAGTGGAAAAGCGGAAAAAAGGGTAAAAGGCGGAAAAAAGGGTAAAAGGCGGAAAAAAGGGTAAAAGGCGGAAAAAAGGGTAAAAGGCGGGAAAAAGGGTAAAACGTCTATTTTAGGCCGGTCCTTGATATTAGTACGATAATATTGAATTCGGTATGGTTCAAGCATAAGAAAAAAATCAAGAACTTAAATTATTTACAGTCATTGTGATACACACAGTCAGTGCCATAAGATAAGACAACGTTTTAGACAATATATAAGTGTATTTATATTGAATTCAATGAACAAAACTTTTGATTTTTCGATGAACAAAACTTATAGAAAGGTGCAACAGTCCGATTTCGCTGTGTCAAAAAACTGTGATATTTACAATAGCAAGCCGAACTCCCTTAAAAATTGGAAATGTTCGGGATTTAAATGTCCAGTAAGTGAGTTACTAAAAATTGTCATCTGTGCATTAAAGTACGGTTGCTTCATACGAACACACTGGACGTTTACATGAAAGTAGACATTTCCCATAGTGTGGCGTGTCTCTCCTGTGTTCTTATCCACCCATGGTCTATTCATCCGGGAGACCAAAACCAGATCGTAGGGCGGCGGAGCAATTACACCCTGAGGCTTAAGTGTCCCCAAGCAACCAAAACATCTTTTCACCATAGGGGAACACATTTGTAGTAACTGCAGACGGACACCCTGTGGCGGAACTGGTGGAGCAGTGACTGGCATTGAAGGAAATGAATACAACATTGACGGTGGTGAATCATTTCTTAGTTGGTTAGAAATATGATATAGCGGCGGGGCAACTGTTGAAACATTGATGAAAGCAACAGAGCCAAAATTTCCAGCGCCAAGCTTTTTTTGTTTTATAATGTTAGCCCAATCAAACATTGGCAATTCCTTATCCTCTGGTTTTTTCTGAACAAGTTTGGGGAGCTTAAAGCTTCCCGCCATTCAGACTGCGTTGTTTGCACTAGAAATAACTTAGACTACAACATTAACATGCTATATGTACTCTGCAGTCTATATAGATATCACAGACTTTTTCGTATAAAAGGCAATATGACACAACAAAACATGTTGTATAGTATCGGAAGTGTCACAACGTTGGTGTCACCGTGTCACCTATCAAATGTCAAACACCTAGCTTACAAACACAACCGTGTTTCTGTATGAAAAATGAATCAATTAATTTCTTCCGTTAAAAGTAAAATTATATTCTGAAGTGATACGCACATGTTTTTGCCCTTTTTTCCGCCTTTTACCCTTTTTTCCGCCTTTTACCCTTTTTTCCGCCTTTTACCCTTTTTTCCGTTTTTTTGCTTTTCCGTTTTTCCGCGTTTCCGTTTCCGCCTTTTACCCATACCCAATCAAAATGAGGTTTGATATTTTCAATGAAAACAACAAAAAACAAGATGTTACAAGATACTAACGTCAAACTCAATTGTTCCATCTTTCGATTCCTGGCCTAGATCAGTCGACATTAAAAATGACAAGGCCAAGGGGAAATGTTAGATTTTGCATGAGAAATACCAGACCCTACAAAATTAGTTCGTAATATATCGCATATAAAGTGCTTTGTTTTTTTGATAGATACACCGCAGACTATCGGTAACATATACATAGCGACTGTCTGTGCTATATAGGCTTGTAAGACGGGAGCGAAAGCAAAAACAAAATTGCCATGTTAATTAACAAGCCGTTGGTCGTTTTGTTGGTCGTTATGATCCTCCCTTTTGCAGCTCTGCTGGCGTTGTTTCTGGTCGCGGCAAATATTATTTTGGCATATTAAACATTTTGGCATATTAAACATGTTTGATATTGGGTAAATGTGTTGCAAATGACAAAACTACTGCAATTCTTCCCAGCACACGAGAATTTTTGTTGCAATTAATTTGTCACGATTGTTGCAGAATCTTTCGTTTATTCTGCCTTTCTGGTTCATCAAACGTTCACACTCGAAGGGACTGTATATTCTGATTTATTATCGATAGATTACATTTCATTTTGCTATATACAATGGGTCATTATTTGGTATATCCCTATATCATATTACAATTACTAGTTAGATCACATTACCCAAATCAGATATTTTACATAAAGTTTTACTACATATTAACTCGCGCTCCGTGGACTGGTGATCTGCGCTGGGAACTTACGACATCCATCTTTAGCGAACAAGTAAGTCACTAACACCTTGTGCCCTTTTTTACTGAAAAATATTCCTATATTCTTTTTAAAAAGACGTTATCGATATTTGGTCGTTTAATAACTGTGATTGGCAATCTCACAGAGTCTTTGTTAACGTAGCTTTGTCGCTAAAATTCTCTATGCATGCGTGCCCACAGAGGAAATGTTAATCATGATATGCTTTCTGTCATTCAATCAGACGCCGTGTTGCCATATTGACGAAACATTAGCCAAAAATTCCCTTCCACATCGACATATTTCAATAGCATGGACACTGAAAAAACACCACTTTTAGGCAGTGGTCACGGACCCAATACACCATCAGTGGGTTATAAACCAAACTCGAAGGATGGGTAAGTGTTAAAGGTAATATTATTATAGGCTGAGTAACTGAAACCTCTGCCAGAAAGCAAGAGTCATAAGAAAGACAAAACGTGTTTATTCAATTGGTGATATTCCGACTATATTAAATATACTTGGTGAATTGTGCACATGACTTAGGAAACATGCATGTAACAAAATTGGTCGTAATTGACATGTCATAATTTGTTGAAATTCGTTGTTTTGCGAAATCCGATGTCATACAAGACTTTACATCATGTAACTACGACAAATTATGAGGAATTTATGATGTTAAATTACAACCAGCGTGATTTGCCGTTGATTCTTAAAACGGTATTCCACTGATCATGAATTGATCAAACGAAGCTCCCAATTTATCAATCAGTCGAGGTCTCCCCAAAACAATGAAATTCAGTACGGCCTGAGGGACCTAATCTGAGTAATCTCTCGGTCTCTTTCTTGGCAAAATACTTTATTTAGTGGTGGTCCATTGTTATGTATAGAGTTGTCGCATTTCGAAATAGTAGGGGTTATAATAATTAATTGTAAAGCTGCATGCTAGTCACATAATCATATGATGAGTATGCGGCCGCCTACTAACATACCACAGAAATCAGCAACTTATAGCTTCAGGGTAGGTTTTTAGTAATTTCGAAATAACAGTAGAGTGTAATAATTATATTGTAATAGCTGCATGCTAGTCATGCTAGTCATATTAGTCATATAATTATATGACTAGCATGCAGCTTTACAATATAATCATTACCCTTCACTGTTATTTCGAAATACCTACCCTGAAGTTGCTGATTTTTGTGGTATTAGTAATCACATATCAGCATAGAAAGAGACGTTGTAGATAAGATTGAGTTGGATACTCTTGTTGGCACATTTAGATTAGCTAACAACAGACTTGTAAAAACTGTTTGTTTATAACAAAAATCGCCGATCTGTGGCTTTCAGATCCGGTCATAAAACCTGCCTGAAATGTTGGAAATAGCTTTTTAGAGACCCTGGAAATAGCGTTGGAAATAGCGCTTTAGAGAGCGTTAGTAAGCCGCATCCGTGCAAAGAGAAGCTTCAATTTTAGAGCTTCGCCCGCTCAGATTCTAGTATCAAACTGGCCGGTAGGAATATTCATGCATTGTTATGCAAGGAAAAAAAACGAAAATGCCTTGCATATTCAACATGTGGGAACATGTGAGTGATGTGATTAATTTCAGAACACTTGACCTTTGTATATCTAATAGGACGTATAGTTATTAGTTATAACTTCCTAGTGACTGTAGTTTCATTATCTCTTGCACAGTTCCAATGCATTCCCAAAGGAAACACGGCTTAAAAACAAGATTATGAATAATTAATTATTTACTTTAGCAACGTTTTAAATTTCAGTCCTATGCGGCAAATTTGCATGAATGTGTGCTCACATGTGCAGACTATGCTGCCTATCCACAACATGTCGCTATCATGCAGTATTGAATGTTCCTTCCTGCCACTGCACAGGGTTTATAAGTTTACTTTGTTTGGCCATTTTTGACGCTTAAAAAGCCGAATGCAATTCGAACAATAGATAATTAGATGATAATGAAGCTTAATGAGATTTCTCACCTCACGAATTGCATTCGACGCGACCAAATCAGGCAAAATGCGACGTTTAACCTAGGCATTGCACCGGAATCGCAAAAGCGTAGGTTCGATTCCTGCCGGAGGACCTAGAGTTGACTCATTTTTCCATCAACTGTTCCTGGCTTGAATTTGAAGTGTGTATAATTCCACTCGAAATTAAGGTCGCATTTCAAATGCAATTCAAGCAATAGATTATGAGAGATTGCAAGCCTCATTTAAGCTCGTTATCATCTCATTACCTGCTGTTTGAATTGCATTTGAGCGGCCAACGACGTTTAATCTAAGCCTTAATTAGATAAAATGTTGTACTAGTTTGAATGCCTTTTCTATTGCACATACAGTATAATGCAATGTGCAATTGAAAAGGCCAATGTTTGAGTGATCTCTAGACAGTCGAGGTCTCTTTTTCTAATTATTTCTGTATACTTTACTCCAATAATATGAAAAAACCCATAACTGACTTACATGGGTTTCTGTTATCGATATACACAACGGCAATGACGATTGGCGCTAAAATGTTGTAGAAATGCTTCAACGTTAAAAAAGGATAACTTATAGTATCAATTGATAACTAATAGTAAGACGTTTTAAGCCTGGTTTCCATATGACGCCGACCTGTCGCCGACTCATTGTCTGTAATCATCCATGGAGAAAATGATTTCAGAAAGACAAAAGATTTCACTCATCAATAATCACCGACAATAGCGAGCTTAAGCAAGTGACGTTTTTGACAACACGTACGTTGACCGGAAGTAAAGTTTTTATTTTTCACCAATCACAATCCTTGACCCAGTCTTTTGGCGTTACTCATGCCGTTTGTGTTGTCAAAAACATCGCTTGCTTAAGCTCACTAATAATACTTTACCGACGTCGGCGTCATATGGAAACCAGGCTTTAGAGAGTTTTCACATTCAAGATGCACCTTCAACATGATTTTGTAAACTTGCAAGTTTTAAAATTGACTGTTTGAGGCATCAAACCTTTACAGTCCATTTCAATCGTGGTTCATTTTCTTAACAACAGAAACGATTTTGGGAAGCCATATTTTTAAAATAGCATTAAATGCTCAAAGTGTGTAGTTGCTAAAGCCGATTCTGGACATGGAAGACGCTCCCTTCCCTGCACTCGCCGGCGCCACGGCAAGTAGAGCTAACTAAACTGGAATTAGCAGCCGAATTCAAGGATAAATCTGTTATAGACAGTTAAAAAGGATCTATAATCAAATCCATTTCATTTTTCTTCAGCCCAAGGGGCTGGCAATCGGAATAATGTACATGCATGCATGTATGATGGTCTAACATGGAAGTTCAATTAAGAATAGTACTGACAAAGTCAATAAATAGTAATAACCATGCAGTTAATCTCGCGCTTGTAGTTTATAATAAATTTGGAAATTAAACTCATACATATGTATCAAGAGATATTAATTCAATTTGCTTTAGTCGAGAAGTGGATTTTTTATTTCACTATACTCCCAATTGATATTTTATACGCGTTTCCAGATCATGAAATAAAAAGTTTGATATAGTATTAGTATATTATTATGTGCAAATGAGGCTCTTGTAGTTAGAAAACTGCCTGTTTTAATTATATATTTTCTGATTTCTTTCAGTAGCCGAAAAAGCGTAGCAATACCAACTGTTTCAGTTAGAGAATTGGTAAGTTTCAACATTATCACAGTGTAAATTAAATGATATATATATATATATTTTGAAAGTTAAGCCCAATTTACACTACACATTTTAGGTTTGGTATATACGGATGAAATTTGGGTAGTTATTATGACTACTTTAGGTAGTCTAAACTTTACCATCTCAATTTTATCTGTACCAAACTTAAACATATTTGTAAACGGATAAAAATGCAGTACAGATAAAATTTGTCTAGTTATTATGGAATCAAATTTTTGTCTGTACCAATTTTTTACCCGGCTATAGTCGTATAGACGAGGTGAAAACTGCATATAATCAAAAACTATATAATCAGGTTAAGCCTTCAATTTGAGGTGCTTTTTACCTCGCCTAGCCGGGATAAGTCGTTCCACTGATATAAACAGGCCCTTAATAGCGCTTTATCGTTTTGGGCCACGTTCATGCTGCCCTCATGCAGTATTGAGAAGAAAGAACTTGCCGAAAATATTTCCTAATAAACTTGTAAGCTTAATAAATGAATGTGGAACATGACTTATTCTGAAATCATGGTTATATTACTTCATTCATTTAGCTTCGTTTTCGCGACGGCACGGATACCATTTTGCTGACAATTGCTGCTTTGGGGTGTATTATCTATGGCGGTATTACTCCTGGTCAATATATATTATTTGGTACTTTGACACAAGACTTCGTCGATTTTACTATTTGTGTGAAGAATAACTGTAGCGATCCAATAGACCTCGAGGACTCCATGACTACAGTCGCGATATGGTACATTGGTCTTGCTGCAGCCAACCTATTCTTCTCATGGCTGGGTTTAGGCTTATTTGGCCTTTCGGCGGAACGACAGGTGCACAAGATGAAGTTGGCCCTATTTAGGAACGCAATCCATCAGGAGATTGGGTGGTTCGATTCGCACTCGACTGGAGAGATACTCAGTCGACTCTCAGAGTATGTTATCCTTACTTTCCTTTTCACGTTAATGTTAATTAATTTACCGCAGTATGTCGAGTATAAAGGCTGCTTTCCACTTACGCGTTTTTTATACGCACGTGCACGTACGGAAAATTTTAAATGCTTTTAAATTTTATTATTTAACATCTAGGTCAACTAATGCATACTAAAATATGCAGAAAACTAAGTTCAGTCCTTCGATTTATTCACTTCGTTTTTTCAAAGGTAACATGTATAAGGATTTAGACTTTTACGTGCGTATGTAAAACACGTAAGTGGAAAAAAGCCTTAATTGAGATATATTTGGACTTTCATTCCGTTCCAATATCAGAAGAGTCCTGTATGTGTTTACAGTATTCGGTATTGGTCACGGCATCGAGAATAGCCATGTCAAAGCGAGTTTTGCCATAAAAAGCATGGCAGCATGGTTTTTATATCATAATCTTCCAAGTGAAGAAGTTCTGGGGGCAGAGATACCGTAAAACAACTTAAACAGATGTCGTGACCATGTGAATCCGAATAGTGTAAGCTTTCTTGGCCCGGTTGTATCAAGCCCTTTATAATTAGCTTAAACGGTGGATAAGTTCAAAATGAAATAACACTCTTACATCTCTCTTAATTGAGAGATCTCTCTCAACTTGAATATTATGCACTGAAAATGTAGTTGTAAACAGTATCTTTGTATTAATAATGGTAATTGCACTGAGTGGAGTGCAATTTGGTGTGAAATCAAACGTGTGATTACAAAATCGCACGACCGCTTCCTGTAATCACAAGCTTGATTTCACACCAAAATTGCACGACACGAAGTGCAATTTCCACTTTATTATATTCATTTTGAAATCATACAAAAAATTAATAAGCAAATTCAATATGATTTATTGCCTGAAAGAACCGTAAACGGTGTAAAATGTGAGTAATCAATTTTCGTCTATTTTTGTCAAGAAATTTTGCAGGGCATTTAAAAATTCAAAATAATAAAATTTTGTGCCATTTTCCCCTGTAATTTGATTGTTACACTGAAATACTAAATCTGATTGGTTATTATGGTGCAGGGCTTCAATCCTATTGGCTTATAAATGATGTAATCACACAATTTTTAATCAATCAGATTGCAAGAAACACCATTGATTTCAAATGAATATAATAAAGGCTAAAATCATTTTGTTTGCTTGTCGAATAAAACCATAAACTTGCTTTCTATTTTGAACTTAACCACCGACCACCGTTTAAGCTAAACGGGCTTGATACAACCGACCCCTGTACTGTAACTGTGTAGCGTGTTAGAATTATACGGAAAAAGTAAAAAGTAACAAATTTTAAACAAATTTTTTAAATGTTTCTGAAAACTATTATTCGAGTTAATTCCATTCTAAAAATTGTCGACGTCTGTAGTGTTTGAGGCTTAAATGACAGTTGGTTGATTTTCTATACCTCTCAAAAGCTCTTTCCTACCTTTTGAGAGAAATTTAATTTAACCTAAATTATTTAGCCTAAATAGACAGTGCATGAAAAAGAATTTTTTACATACTACCATAAACAGGACTATCTTAAATTTAATAATCTTTTTATATGAGGGGAAATTGGAGAATTATGTCTAAAATTATGAATATATCTGCCAGTTACTTATAATAATACAATAAGTTAAGATGTAGTTAAGATGCCACAATATCTTCAGTATACAATAACATCTTGTATACTGAAGATATTGTGGAATCTTAACTTACTGCATGACTGATTACAAGATGGTATTCTTCGGAGTATGTTTTTTCTAATTAACCGCGATAACCTTGTCTCGTCAATGGTATAATGCAGTGTTTCACACTTTATTTTTTCGTTTGCAAATACAGGGACATCAATAAAATTGGCGATGGTATTGGTTCTAAATTTGGCCGGATAATATGTAGTTTGATTGGTTTTTTTGCTGGATATATAATCGGGTTCATCTATTGTTGGCAGCTAACACTAGTTATGTTGGCACAACTACCGCTGCTCTTCATCGTGGGTGGAATGATGGCGAAGGTGAGATCCTACTACATATATGGTTGAGGATTTCACTTAATTTATTGGAGGGGGGGGGGGCGTGTTAAATATTTCGCCAGTTTCCATTGAGTAACTGCGTTACTTTAATAGGCAACATTTATATGCGACAGTTATTGGCCCCTACGTTTGACCTGATTGTTTTTGTCAACCTCGTTCCCACGACCCACGGTCTTTTCGTGGGGAGGGTTAGGGTTTTTGTATTTGTTAAATATGCTTTATAAGGCGACCGGTAGCTACACAAGCAAAGAACTAGAGGCTTATTCAAAAGCTGGCCACGTCGCTGAGCAAAGTATTTCGTCTATCAAAACGGTGGCTGCTTTTGGTGGAGAGAATAAACAAGCCGAACTGTAAGTAAACCAAAACAATGATTTAGGATGGTTTTTTAGCAAAGTTAGAAAAGGAGCGAGGTATAGCGAGTTCGACTCGTCAAAAAATATTGTCCATGCAATAAAGCCCCGTTTACACTACACTCAATTTATCGGCATAGGACGGCAAAAATAGCCCTATACCAACTTAATCCGTGCTTGGCCTTTGTATTAGTGACCTGAACACCAATGAAACTGGGTATGGACACTAATTTTATCCGTGCCTTGCCAATAAATTGAGTGTAGTGTAAACGGACTTAAGTAGTAAAATATATATATACATTTAGGTATATATTTCTATATTATATGCCTCCATATATTATGCTCGATAAGACTTATATAGCTAGTTAAACCGTGCCTGTCGTGCCGGATCATCAACTTTGATCTGCTTTGCATGAATAAGGTAAAATGAATGTTCCTATAATTTATTTATTAGATATGATAACCATCTTGGTGATGCGTGCAATTTTGGAATCAGTAAAGGATTAGCAATCGGACTAGGAATGGGTGGCTTTCAGCTGGTGCTGTATTGCAACGTTGCCTTGTCATTATGGTATGAACTTCAAAGTCAAACGTTATTTTATATTTTAGGTTACATATAGGGTGAGCATGCTGCCTAAAAGCATGATATCAGTGTTCGGCTTGCCAATCTCGTTTGTTGGTTTTTTGAGTTATCAAATCATGGTTTCCGTTCGTTTGTTACCATATACATCCAGTCTCTACCGTAGACAAGAGGTAGATGTGAGGTAGTCATCTTATCTTCTGTGTGGCGTTATACAAAGTGAAACTATAAGTCTTTATAATAATCGCGTGTTTCGTTGTAGTGTTTCTTTGGCACTCTTTCATATTCGTCACAACTCATGTTGTGGGCGAGAAAACGAGGCTCATTCGTGTGCACGATTACTAGTCACATTAATTTTGCATTCAGGGATCATTCTAGGGAGATATTTAGGGCAGGTAGCTTGAATGAGATAATTGGGAAACGAAATGTTTATTCCATATCATTGCACGTCTTATGTATACAGGTACTGCGTTAAACTAGTAAAAGATGGAGACGCTGAGGCTGGTGATACCCTTACGGTACTGTGAATAAGTATTACTTGACGATGTTATATGTCCCTTACAGCATGACTTATCTACCTATCTAGTCATTTTAAGTCACTGCTTGCGGAAACGATCACGAGGTTTAGCTGTCAGATAAGAATCCACGAGCGCCTCCATTCACTGATCTCCATATCGCTGTCTAAACAGGATTAATTATACGTGTACGTAAGCTGGACGTTACTTTGATTTCAGGTCTTCTTCTGTGTTATCGTTGGTTCTATGACAACAGGGCAATCAGGACCGAGTTTTGAGGCACTAAGCGTGGCGAAGGCATCGGGGTATACTGTATTCAAACTGATTGACCGGGTAAGTATATATACTTGCTTTCGCGTGAAATTCTTTCCGAATATTTCATTAATTAGTTCTCATGGTATTTTTTATACTAAAAATTATGATATTCCTCATAGATATCCAAAATTGATGCATCGTCAGATGAAGGACTTAAACCAGCTGCTGTTACAGGAGACGTTGAATTTTCTGACATTAATTTTGTATACCCAACTCGACCTGACATCCAAGTTAGTTGGATAAATATGCGATGTTTAGTTTAATTGCCTAACTATTGACGTAGCATTTCTTTAGTTGAGCTCTTTGTCCACTCGACAACAACCCACCGAAAGTGGAAAGTTAAAACTTCCCCTGACGTTAGCAGCCTCCAAGAAATCATTATCGAGAGGCTGAATCCCTCTGCATGATTATTTAATATTCTTTACCACAGATTCTGAGAAATTTCAGTCTTAAAGTTCCCAGTGGAAAGCGGGTTGCACTTGTTGGAGAAAGCGGCTGTGGAAAAAGTACAGTTGTTAAACTAATACAGAGGTTTTATGACCCAGTCGCTGGATCAGTAAGTCATTTAACATGATTCATCCTCTGTTTTATACTTTTTAGTACACACAATAGAATAAAAAAATATGTAAAATAATAAAAATTCTATAGGTAAAACTCGACGGTAATGACATCAAATCACTAAATATCAGATACCTACGAAGCTTGATTGGTGTCGTAAATCAAGAACCTGTATTATTTGCTACAACAATTGCTGAAAACATAGCTTATGGACGTGACGGGGCTACGCGACGTGAAATCGAAGAAGCTGCGAAAATGGCCAACGCACACAATTTTATAACCCAGTTTCCAAAGGTAATTTTTCCTTTAAATACATACATGAAAAGATTTGAAAAGTATATATTTCAGCCGTTGAAGCTGACGTTTTCACCTCGATTTCATTCACCCGAAAACCGCCTAGCTTCCTTTAAAACGAAAGCAAATTAATCATGGCAACCTCGTATGTATATGTCATTAGGGTTATGACACCGTTTGTGGTGAACGCGGAGCTAAAATGAGTGGTGGACAAAAACAGCGAATCGCCATCGCACGAGCGTTGATCAGAAACCCAAAAATTTTGCTGCTAGATGAGGCTACGTCTGCTCTTGATACAGAAAGCGAAGCTGTTGTGCAAGATGCTCTTAACAAAGTTAGTATAAGATTGTTTCTTGTTTATTGTTGTGTTTGTATAACGTTGCATGTTGATTCGAAAATGTCCTTAAACTTGAGGTTTATTTATTGGTACAATAATAGATACCATGCATGCAGCATTGATACAGAATGGGCACACAATTGACATGCACAAATTAAACAATTGCTTGATTGCGAATTGATAATGCCTAAGTTATTACGACCTTTGGCATGTAGTTTGGCTTCCATCAATTAAGCCTTTTATAACTCCATGCAATGTTTCAAGATAAATAAATGCAGGTCAATTTAAAAGTCTTCAATGCATGGATAAGCACATGCATGTGCCATATTAATATGATAGTATAGTGCATGTGCGATATTATTAGCATATCAACATGACAAAATCCAGAGGTGCACCTAAATATTTTTGTGAGTAATATTTTTTAGGCAGGAGAAGGCCGTACAACTATCATTATTGCACATCGTCTATCCACAATAAAAAACGCCGATATAATAGTTTCCGTAAAACATGGATCTGTTGTTGAGACTGGCAATCATGACGAACTAATGGCCCTTGATGGAATCTACAGAAGTCTTGTAAGGCTACAGGTACTGTGCCTGGCTAGAAGAAAGGATCTGTATCTCCTTAAACTAAGAAATGGTTATCTAACTCTATACTCGCTTATAGCAAGCTCAGCTACCTCTATAATACTAGTCGCCTGCGCATGCCTACATATTATATATTATATATATGGTCCTGCGCAATCATGTTTATGCTGCTTTAATTATTAATTCAAATTCGTAAATTTCGTAAGATAAGCCCTAGATGGCTGAAAGATTTGCGAAGATTTGAAGCGGTTCTCTGGATTTTAGATTTTATTTAAGTCAAGATTGAAATTTATCATAACCTGCCATAGTATCATGTCTACAATGTTCTCAAACAAACGGAACATTAATCAGAAAGGCCATGCATCGCTTTCGTTTTTTTCACCATATACGATTTTAATAACAATGTAATCATCCTGCTCTGCTAGGATCGTGCAGGTCTTAAAGAACATGAAAAAGATGAAAGTGAGGAAGAAGAGGAAAAATTGACGTTGGATGAAGACACTCTCGCTGTCCCACAACTAGAAATGTCTTCAGCGACCTCTTCCGCCTATACCGCTTCTCGTATATCACGAAAGGTAGGCGAATTGTCTAATATTTTTGTATTACTATATTATTTCCTATGGCGTTTCATCATTTCGCGGCATACTTCAAAACTATTTCAAGGTGTAAAATTTGGTGCAATTTGGTGTAAAAATCATTAAAATATTATTGTATCTATGTAGTTATTAATGTGAATTCATTTAAGAGTTCACCTGATAAAAACATACTTTTTCAGTCTTTTTGTATTGAAGTTCGTTATTGAGAAATTTATGGGTACTGCAAACCTTAAAGCACGGCGTGGAACTTTTATATATCCATGCAGTGTTCTTGGATCATCGCGTGAAATTAGAAAATAAGTTGGTATTGATCATTATTGATATTGGCCTGTAGCGTGTGTATTGTGTATAATTCTTCTATGGAATCTTACGCACGCTGCTCGTTATTAAACAGGAACACTTTTCAGTTTCATGCATTACGAGAATGTTTCGAAACACTGCTTCTGTTCAGGGCTACCATAATACCATAGTTCTTAGTTCTTACTCTATGAAAACCGTCTCCTTGGTGCGTTATACCGCCATAAAGCAGCATTTCATTGTTTTAGTCTGAAGAGGAGGATGTAAGACCAGTGTCACTCAAAAAAGTACTGCAAAAGAATCGTCCGGAATGGGGATATATGTTGCTCGGTTGTATTGGTGCTGCAATATTCGGCGCCTATCCGTTTCTTTTTGGATTAAGTTTAGGAGGAATATATGATGTGAGTATCTAAACGTTGAATGTGAAAATCAGAATTATTCTGTCTTTTATTCTTTTCTATGTCTTCTATTATCTTCATACCATAGTCAATTGTATGCATTGCCGATGTGGAATTTTTTTCTGTAAATATTTTCAGGCGTTAGGTAATGATCCATCTAAGGCAGACCAAAGAGAAGATATGGAAGACGCAAGCCTGAAATGGGCGCTGTATTACGTGTTTGTTGGCGTGGAAAGTTTTATTGGTGTGATCATGCAGGTACCTAAAATTAGTGCGAATAACTGGTACAAGTACTTAAATTATTCAGTTAATTGAGTAGGTGCAGTTAGAAAATAAGTTATATAAAAATAATATACAAATAAGGAAATGTTTGATGGAGCATTTTAATTAAAGACTATTTTGTGCAATATCACCCTACAGGGGCGTAGTCAGCATGTCGATTAGTCACTATATGCACGGGGTTTCAAGTTGTTAAAATTTCACTATTTTAATATTTAATTTCAATTTCACGTGACGTAGTTTTAACCAATCAGATTCTAGAACAGATGAACTTCGAAAGTTGCTATTTCGTTTAACCTAAATGATTTTAGGGGAACGTATACATATTTGATTTCTGCCTGAAGTTCTCTTATGCTCAAATTCCAGAACTGGTTTTTAGCCAAGTCTGGGGAGGCGTTGATAAAACGATTACGGAAGGAAACTTTCCTAGCCATTCTCAGACAGGTCAGTAAAAAGTAGGAAAAAAGTATAGAATTGACTCTTCTCTATGTAATTAAAGAAAAGGTATGGAAAAATAATATATGCTAAAAAAATAGTGAAGGAAAATTAGCATGCTGTGCGCAGAGGCCGTGAAACCGAGGAAATATTTGCTGCAAATAAATGTCCCCCGTACCCATGCACATAGGCTGTGTAGAGGAAAAATTTCTGACAGTGTAGCAGGGCTGTGTAGAGGAAAAATTTCTGACAGTATAGCTGCTCAGCTTTCTTTGAAATGATACCTCAAAAATAAGATATATTCCCCTAAATTTGGCATTCCTTTGCGGCCATTAGCGGCCTTATGTGCACGTGTGACAATTTTATTGTACTGATTGACATTTTGCCGTAACCATTTAGGAGATATCCTACTTTGATCAACCTGAAAACGGAACAGGTGCATTATGCACTCGATTGGCTGCTGATGTATCCAAAATTCAGGGGGTAATATTTGTACTATGCACCACAACATTGTATATTCAAAGCATATTACATGGTATGATATATTTTAAATACATATATACGTGTATATCATATATGTTGGGGGTCAATGTTTAAATAGTATGCGGAAAATGCTCGACAATTTCGATTCCTATCGCGCTCAAACACCACGTACAACTATTCAATTTATATGATAATCTATATCTATCTCTATAATCTATAATATTGCGTGGACTAAAAGATCCATAATCTATATTCCATGACAGGCAACTGGAGCACAATTTGGTCTTATTTCGTCATCGATCGTTACCATAGCTGGTGCTTGTATAATCGCTTTCAGTTTCTGTTGGAAACTAGCTTTAGCTATGCTCTGTTCCGTTCCACTTCTGCTGATTTCTGGAACCTTCTATAACGTATTCCTCGGTGGCGGAACAATTGGTCCTGAAAGAACTAGCAGTGGGCAGGTTGGACGTATAGCTTTTATCAATACTGTAATTGAGTATTCATCGAAAATGTATAACTATTAACTACATTTTAACCTAAGATTAATTGACTATGTTTGGGAAATTTTCTCACACTTTAGAAGTTCGCTAAACCGGTAAATCAAATAGGGGCTTCGCGATTATCCACGAACAACTTAAGCCTGCATTATAATTTGATCTGAATCGTCCTATTGTATCAGATTCGTTTAACTTGCAGGTAGCAGCTGAAACGATTTCAAACATTCAAACAGTTGTGTCTTTGGGACAAGAAGATACATTTTTTGAACGGTTCAGAGAATCGCAAGCGGAAACATTCAGGTGATACTGATTCATTATCCGTGAATCATGCATCAGTACGGTTAACATGCAAGAAATGGAAATACTTGAGCCGAAAAACATGACGCTAAACCGACTATACAAACGCGAGGCTTTTAATAGAAATTTAAAGGGAAAATAATTTTTATAGGGTGCTCACTTGCCCATGGACATAGTTGGACTCCGTTTTTTCAATTTTCAATATTGGGATATACCCACCTTTATCATGTTGTCCTCACTCCTCCCACCCTCCTCTCTGTTGAGTTTCTTACTATATAAAATAGTCGTATAGTTGTATACAGACCTTTGATAGGGCCGATTCTCTCAAAAAATGTTTTGGTGAACTTCGAAAGTTCTGAGTATATATTTGCCCTTAATTGTCTTCAGGAAAGCAAAAAGGGCAAGTCACATCGCTGGATTTGCCAATGGTAGTGTGATGGGTGCTGTCAATATCAGTTTTGCAGTAGGATTTCGCTATGGTGGATATCTTCTCACTGAAGACGAACTTACATTACAAGATATGATGACGTAAGTTCTTTTCGAAAGAAATTTGTTTTCATCGCAAATACCCTTCTTAAAGTCACCATTATAGTGTACTACGTCACCTTAATGAAATCCGCGCTTCATGCCCGAATCTTTGTTACAGAGTTGTGATGACAGCTACCGTAAGTGGTATTATTTTGGGCCAAACGGCTTCGATGACACCGGACTATTCTGAAGCAAAGCGAGCCACAAACAAAGTATTTCGGTTCTTGGAGAAGATCCCTAGCATTGACAGTTATTCTGACAGAGGGTTGCACCCGGTAAGATGGATTAAATTACTTCTGAAAAAAACTCTCAGGTCTAATTATTTATTCATTTGATTTTTTTTCTTTGACTCGTTGTATTGATAGCCGTCGTCGTCGTGTCGCTGTCCTACATGCTTAAGGTCCCATTAATGCTTAAGGTCCCATTAATGCTTAAGGTCCCTGTATATTCGGTTTTACTGATGACCCAAGTCTATGCCATAAAACAATTTTGCGAACGATGGATTCCAGTTACTTAAATCGGATTTTAAGAACCATTCTTTTTCGCATGTTTTCTTAGAGTTCTTGCAATGGCGAAGTTCGACTTGCAAACGTTGGTTTTCGATATCCAACACGACGTAATGTGAAAGTATTACGCAATTTGAGTATCAACGTCCAACCAGGTCACACGGTAGCTCTTGTTGGAACGAGCGGGTCTGGAAAGAGTACTTCCGTCTCATTGATCGAACGGTTTTATGACGTGAGGAGTGGAAGTGTGGTAAGAATTATATCCAATTTTTTATTGTTATTTCCACGATCCACCTGCATGGATACAGTCAATGATATGTCTCATTTCTTCAGATGATAGATGATTGCGATGTTAAGGAGTTGAATTTGAAATGGTTAAGAAGTCAAATAGGAATTGTCTCTCAAGAACCAGTTTTATTTGATCTGTCTATAAGAGACAATATCGCTTACGGTGATACAACAAGAATGGTTAGCGATAGGGAAATCGAAGACGCTGCAAAGTCTGCAAATATTCATGATTTCATTTCACAATTACCGAAGGTAAGTGAGATTTCATCATAAGTAAATTAGCTTGTAGGTAGACCACACAAGTATTTAATGCTGCAAAGCTTTTGAGTCCGTTTAAACAGGGCCTTCATCAGGTAGTGCAATTAATCAAGGCCCGGGTTAACGGACCGAAAGCTTTGCAAGATTGAATACCTATGTGGTGTACCTACAAGCTAATTTACTTATTGTGATATCACCATGCAAACATGCAACAATGAAATTTAATTAGTTAGCTTTCGCAGGTCTTGAAAAATACTTGGGAAACATTTAATTTATTTCAATTTGAAATAAAATTTTTACTTAATAAAGTTTAAATGAAACTTTTTCAGAAATATGATACCACAGTTGGAGATAGAGGCGCTTTGATATCTGGCGGGCAAAAACAAAGAATTGCTATTGCTCGAGCACTAATACGAGATCCAAAGATTCTGCTTCTGGATGAAGCAACGTCTGCTCTTGATACCGAAAGCGAAAAGGTAGACATTACCATATAGTATACTTATGGCCATTCTTACGGTTCGTGAGAAAAGCCATGAATAAACCATCCCGTTCGATTCAGACTGGGATTCAGAAGTGAATGTAATAATTATGGCAGTACTCTTTATACAAGTACTGTAGTAAGGATCATTTAAAATGCGGATTTTTCAATGCATTGAAACTTGATCCTTTTAATTTTATATTTATTTCCCCCATATATATTTGAATATATATTATCATGCACCTATATATATATATATATATATATATATATATATATATATATATATATATATATATATATATATATATATATATATTTCACAAGTTTGAATATATCACCCATCTGCATGTACTGAAAAGTTCTGTGGCTACTGTTTATCATATATGCTCAGTTCCTGACACTTGAAGTGATTGATTTGTGGTTGATTGTCATTGTCCTATCTCTATTTTAGGTTGTCCAAGAAGCATTAGATAAAGCAAGCATTGGTCGGACAACGTTGGTAATCGCTCATCGCCTGTCTACTATTCAACATGCAGATGCTATTATCGTTATGAAGAAGGGAAAGGTTATAGAAAATGGAACCCATGAACAGTTAATGTCTCTAAAGGGGGTATATTATGCCTTACATCGTGCGCAATCGCTATCTTCATGAAGCCAATGCGGCTATATATGGCTGTGTTGCACGGGTGCATGTATGCCGAACTGTATATTAAGCTATTAGCGTCTTTTTTGGTAAATTTAGTTTTGTGCCACATTTGGTATATCAATTGTGGCAATCTACGATTAATATGAATCTAGCATTTCTTTAGGTTTATGCGAATTTTGAAATAAATTTTTTTCTCAGCAATTGTGGATGTGGTAGAACGCTTCTTTGAAGCGACATCTCGGTTTCTTGCAGCGATTAAAAAACATTGCACCTCACAAATTGCACCTCGCAGAGTCGCAGTGCAATGTATCATGTATTTTGATCTATTCCATCTGGGCATTACATTGCTTGCACTGAAGACATTTTTCACATTTGAAATTATTTTCTTTCCGCCTTTCGTTGTTGTATCCAGGATTAAGAATGTCCATTTTGACATTCTGATTTAATTCTTTGGCACCTTAATTAGATATGCAATTATGAATAACGGACGTGTTACTCAGACGTGTACGGCTGTATATACATTTTGTTAAAGTTTGAGGATTTGGTTGTACACCGATCTATATATATATAGCACCAAAATCAGGAGCGTGCTAGCGAGGGTTGCGGGGTGTGTAACCCACGGATAATTCAAAAAAGTGTTCAGTGATCAAAATTTTTTGTAGTTATTCAGAAAAATACATAATTAAATTCGAGAAAATTTGGCACAATGTGCAACATGTACTGAAAGTCAATCATACTTAGGAGATGGAGAGGCTAAGAATGGGAAGAATTTCCCCCCTCGGCACCAACTCTAGTGATGCCCTGTGATCATGCCTTCGTAAAGAAAAGTTGTTGTACGTTTAAAGTTTCATGGTCAATATCTATAGATCCCCCAATCCTGAAAGTTGTTGAAATATTTTTTAGATTAGTTTTTTCTAATCTTTGGATGAATATTCCTCGCTCTCGTTATTACATACCTTTAACATGTATTATATTCGAATTCTTGGTGTGGAAATATTGCCATGCGATACCAAGAAACATCAAAACAATAACCGTGCCAGAGAGAATAACAATTATATCATCCGCCATTATTGTTCCTTGCTCTTCAGGATTTGTTTTACTCCATTCATTCGACATATTCATTTTCATTTCCTGAAAACAACCCAAACTTGCTATAACACCTAAAGTTTATTACATACTCGACTGTATTGATAAGCTAACGCATATGCACAAGAACATGTTCCCCTAAATTACACGCCCCCGCCCCCCCCCTTGAGTTTAATTCCCTCAACTTCTCCGTTTCAAAACACCTTAATAACAACGCTATTGGTTATAGATTTGAAAAGAATATCTATACATTAAGATCTGCCAATGCGACTCCGATTTTAAGCTGTATAGTAATTTATTCTGCACACCCCTAGATCCGCCGACACCGCGGAAATTGGTATAGGCTTAGCCGCAATTCTCGATACTTAGACTTCAAACTTGGTGAGGAAAAAGATTTATAAATATTCAAGAAAATATGTCTTGCACAAAAAATTTGAAGCTTGCTCACGGTAAAAACGAATCGTCTGAATTAATAACTTTGTGTATACTTTAAGCCTCAAAATGGCCATTTCACAGCGGTCAGATGTGTATGATGAGCTGTCAAAAGATTGCAGAATGCGTATTCAGAAAAAAAATTGAACTTTTTTAAGATATTCAAAAGGTTTCTCTTTGATAGGGCGATACAGAAATGCACAATTGTGAACCAGCGATTAGATTTTCGGGTTGAAACGTCTTAAACACCAATTTCTGCGGTGTCAGATCCGCCACTGAGCGAGAGCACCATTTGCTAATATATTTTCTGCTTTAGAAACCGAAAATAAATAAAGTTTATGAATTTCATTTTCTAAAATCAAGCAAAACAGTTTAATAGGCAATTTTTTACTAACTTTTCATTAAATTATTTTTGGCTATTATTTTTGGTCAAAAAATATCATTGGTTACCTGTAAAGTTTTGTAGACACACGGCTGCAAGATTTCAAAACAATCATCCCAATGTCTTGTGAAATTATTTTGTGAACTTTTGACGAAAATAAAATAACTATAGCTTTTGTCGATAAGTTTTGTTACTTTGAAGTGATATCGACTAAATTCTTCCAAGTGGGAATTTATAATAAAACGATCCAATAACAGGAAGTCGATTTCATCGTTTTTGACAGCTTCAATAATATCTCCAACTGTGTTGTATTCTGAAATTCAAAAAGGATAAATTTTTATGCAGTTCTGGGGTAGATCTTGCACAGACGTTGATCTCTAAATCATGGCGTTAAACCCACTTTAAGATTGACATAGTTCGTTTTCAGTAGTGACGGAGAAGATATATGTATGCAATATACAGCATATGTGCCTACCAAAGACATAAGCACTCTCGGCCATTGCATATTGTACTTCTTCAGATCCTTTCAGGACAGCAACCTGCAGGTATATTAATTTTGTAATATTATACTGTTATATTTCACATTTTACTATAGAACGTTTTACTGAATTTGTGAATTCGTCTACACTTAAGATGTTTGGACTTAATACCCACAACATGCATACACCCATATAAAACCAGGGACTCTAGTGATCTATAATCAGTGGTGTATATATATTCAATTCTGCCCGACAGATATCTTTTGTAAGTGCAGTAGCTTACAATAGAATTCCGTCAGGCAGAACTGAATATAATTAAATACCCCCCCCCCAATTATCGTTATAGCTACGTCCCTGGAGGAATTGTTACACCATACATAATTTACGGTGATCAATCATAGAAACACCACTATATGCCACACAACAAATTATCGCTATGAAAATGACTCACCCTCTTCGCAAACATAGTTTTGTCTTCAGGCACGTCGGTGTTAAAAAGTACTGCTGTCATTGTGCCAGTCAAAATGGAGAAAAATATCATACCAATTATCATCCAACAGATTGTAACCAGGCGACCAGGAATTGATTTTGGTGCTTTATCGCCATACCTATAGGTGAATATAGCTATAGTGATGGGCATGTGGGCATTACTACGAAATTGCGCGGTCATTTCGCAGAAAATTTCGCCATGTTGGATGATATTAGAAATGAAAACAAGGAAAATTCTTTGTAAAATTCATCCAGCATAGTGGCGATGACGTAACACACCAAAACCATAGGACTGCAACAAATTCTTCTGTCGAATGTTTTCTTAAATTATTATATAATTAAATTATTACCCCACTGTTGTCATAGTCACCAATGCCCACCAGAAACCTTGCCAGGCTCCAGGTACAAAGTCCCTTGGAAATTCTTTCGAGTTGTTTTTCCGTTCCTAAGAGTAGCAAATGTGGATTTGGTTATCCTACGAATAGCTTCGTGGGATATGTAAAGGGCTAGTTCCGTTTCAACACGAGGGCTCAAAATTCAAACTTCAGTTCAACACTGCACAGTCTGCACGTAGTATTAAAGAAAATTACTCGAATTGACGGTGAAGCAATTAGCAATGTTTCCGACTTAGCCTTTACGCCCGCGCGAATGATTTATGGCAGGTACAGAGATACATATTTTTGAAGAGAGAAATTAAGAACCCAACAAATCATCCGATGATCGTACGATGGTTTATATTTGGAAGCGGAATTAAAAAACGTAAGGTGGTTAAACCCAACTCACTGCCATCCACAAAGCAATTCCAGCTAGACAAGCAAGAAGCAAAGTAACAACTATGGATTTCCAACTTTTCTGAAGTCCATCTACAATAGACTGATCCAGCGACTTAGTCCTTCTGGACTTTGTCATGAACGCAGGGCCATAACTCTCTGTGATCTCTATAGGACAGGTTGTCGTTTCTTTATCGGAGTAGCATCCCCCGTGGTTTTCGTCATCATCTTCGTTACGGTGTTTAAACCTGTACAGATAGGTATAAAAATCACAGTTTTATCAACTATAGGCCTTTTAACACCCCCCCCCACCCCCCTAGATGGAGGACAAATGCTCCAGTTCATGAAGTCAAAAATTGGTGAAACTGCATGGGTAAAGGAGAGACTGCATACTATAATCTATAAACTTATTTATCAATAAGTTTAAACTGACATACCAATTTTTTAAAATATTTGGTATTGGTTGTTTCCAATGACGTAAAAAACGAAAAACTGCTGCCTGTTTTATCTTTGAAAATTGGGGAAAAACACGTGATTGCCAAAGAATTAAGAAAACTTATCCTTCATACCTCTTTGAATTAACCGACAAGCATGGAATAAGTATCAGATTTTGTCCATTCTTATGCTGTTGATAATATCTGAATGCTGTTGTTGACGCTTTCTGGAACTGTTCCGTGTCATTTACAAGTTTATATTCATATACAAAATTAGATACATTCGCTACAATATCCAGGGCTCTCGGAATTATTCCTGAATAAAAATAAATGTCATATATAGGTCAAAATTTAAATATATATGGACCGCTACACAGCATGTGTTTAGCCCCGCCGACTGCATGCAAATAAATTAAATGCACCAGGATTAGAGGTCTGACTTTCATTAAAATTTGATGTGGAGCTACTACAAATATTGCATGAGGTTTTTGATTAGTTAAACTGAAAGTTTGATTGTTTAAATCAATTAGTTTCCTTGACGTATTTTCTCAAATGTGCAGCAAAAGCTGAACTTCATTGCATGTATGCTTATAGATATATCAGTCAGTAAAGTCCATTCATGTGGCTGAATGTTATCAATAACTCATCTACTTATTCACAACTTAAATCAAAACAAGAAACCTTTACAAGTGATTTTTTTTTCGGCACAAGACAAAATTCTTCATATTATTGAGAAAAATAATAAAAAATATATATAATAAAAAAAATATATACGTGAATATAGTGTAAAAAAATGATAAAAAAATTATATACGTGAAAATAGTGTAATTATTCTCAATAAGAATAAGTACGGGTTAAGTGACCCGGCTGGTTGTTAGCCATGCAAACTGCTCGAAAAGTTTCCGTGCTCTCACCCTCCCTCAGCAACGATTTTAAACGGTTTTAAAACAAACAAGAAAATTTTCCGTCTTATATGCGATTGCGTGCTGCAATAATTGGTCCTTTTTTTTGTTTAAAGAAATGGATATATATAGGTTATAGTTTACCTATTGCTTGAACATCTGTCGCGTTGCTGTCGAAATCATGATAAATATATGGACGGCAATTCACCCACTCAACAGTTATATCACCTTTGAGGTAAGAACAGGACAGGAGCTTCTCCTTCGCTCCTTGACTTGCTCTTGGACATGTAGAATAAACCAGTATAATGGAAGACAAATGTATCAAGTTCATAATGATTTTTAAACATTAAATGTCAACGACAACGCTTTAATTTATTTAATAACTTGCAGTTGCATGATGGGGGAGATCAATTGGGGGAGATGAGGGATTTAAACACAACTGACATAATTCTGACGGTAAGATAAAAAAAATGGAAGTAAAATTAAATATTCAAATTAGAGTCAAAGAACGGTTTAAACGACGACGAGAACGCATCCGCAGGTGCAAAATTTGCATGTGGAATTTGTTTAAACGCTATTCCAATACTCACACTCGAGTTCGAGTGACATTCGTATTTCATCAGCATGCAGCCTACAATTTCATCATTTCTATTTTACTTCCCTTTAAAAAGTGACAAAGATACCCACGAGGAATTGTACTGGGATATATTTATTATGAAAATAATTAATGCAATTGACGAACCATTATTCACATTGTTTTCCCTTTCTTCCCTTTGAGCATAAAACTGTTCAATAACCTCAAACTTTTAGCGGCTGCGTGACATTAGTCATTACTGTCAAATTTTTGTTACAGGAAATGGACAAAAGCAAAAACAAAAAGGTTTGATTTAGCAAAATAAAACCGGCTCAATGTATCTGCAAGTGTAAACAATCGAAATTAATCAACGTGCTGATTGTGCTCAGACTGACCCCTGGGTATTAACAACATGCAAAGACGAACTAATCAGCAAAAAAGAAATGAAAATCTAAAATTGATAAAAATGGGAAGCTCGATCTCACGCTGATGCCTGCTTGATTAAATATGCTTTTCCTCCCCCTCCTTTAGGACAGGAACTTAAAACATGCATTTCATCTGTGGTACCAGCGGATCTGAAATTGCATTGCAAGCTACAGCAAAATGATGATGCATGTTTCGTAACTTATATGAGGCACAAATCAATTAATCTCTTGTTTCACTCTTATTTATTAATAGGCTAAACATGGTAAAAGTTTTTAGAGTTTATTTAATCATTGCTCCTTGTTACAATAATAGTTTCTACAATCCCCATAAATAATGCTATATAGTATAGTGTATATTATCTTATTACCGCTACATAGTAGCTTAATCATATTGTATACAGCGCTGCAACAATTAAGTGACTTATCCACCCTGACAGTGATAGCCTGAAACATCACGTCTTACCATAACGTCGCCAGCACGATAAGCGGGGGAACATATTCACGTATGTATACTGTATTCATGTACTACATTATATCAATTGCCTTTGCAATTAGCGAGCATGAGTATATGAATATGTTCCCCTAGCTCCTTTTTCATGCTATAGCTACGTCGCCACATCCAGCATGACACCTTAAAACGTCAAGTTAACACCTTTCCGAAGGGTCCTCAATGTTTCCGAACAATACCTAAAGTTTGTGCATCAATTACAGCCCTTTTACAAAAAAATATCCGCCTTTTATCATAGTTAGCAATGTATGGAAATTATGTCACTTAATCGTTGCAGTTCTGACGTCACCAGCAAACTAAAAAGACTAGAATGTAAGCTGTCCTTCGTCAATTCGACATTCGCTACAATCTAAACTACCATTATAGTTACCCAAACACTCTAAGTTTAGAAATTGATGTTTTTGCTTCCGTTTCTGAATGAATGAATGCCCTCACAAGACATTTTATATTAACCAGCTTATATAATACTTCTAGCCATTCAGATCACTGAAGTAACATGTAATTTATCATCCAAATATTACATGAACACTCCAAAAGTATACCTTAATTATTAGGCACACTAAAATATCATTAATCTAACAGATTTGCATCAATCTCACGTTACATGCTCTTAGCACAACCCGTTCTATAACCTCATTCAAATAATTTTACAATGTCAAGTGTCTAAAATGTTGCATTCTTACGTAAAACAATACTGAACATCTATAATATAGGTAAAAATTTTCTTTACTATAGAAACAAGATTACACCTAAAGTGATTTTATGTTAAGTTAGAATAAATACAGTAAACATATAGTTCTAAGCAATTGAGACTCGTGCTCTCTTTTTCACGCGCACTATACAATCAAAAAGCATGCAGAGTGTCGATTTACAAACATGCATGCTGTTTCTTTTAAGATGTCTGTCAATATATCTGCATGTTTCTAACCAAATCCCTCAAATTTTATTCCTTAGGTTAATTAAACTAATGTCTCGACAAATCAGAAAGGTATAAACAGTTATCAATGATGTCAAAGGTGGGGTGAAAAAGAGAGGTCTCCACATGACTTGCAGGTAAATCTCAAGTTTTCTTCCCCGAACCAAAACTACGTTAAACCCCATACGCCTGGCCCTAAGTTATTTCACTCATACTTCAAAGTGTAGTTGTATCTTATGTATCTTATGTATCTTATGATAGAAAAGTAAAATGCAATTCCAACGGCTGAATTTTTTCCTCCCTATAGCTACTTACTATTTTGGTTTGATATCATATACGTGCAAAGATTCATTGTTGTCCATATATGGAAATGCTTATGTTTCTCAATGAAGAGAACTCTCTCAACCGAACCGAATTTTCCAACAATAATAATAATAAAGAAATATGAATTTAGTCTAAAACTTATGACTAAAGTAATGACTGAGTAGATGAGACAAATATGCCGTCCATATACCCTATATATATCTATAAACATTTTCACTGAACAGATAAACAATAAATATGCCATGCATTATTTTTATATTTTTTTCACCATATAACATCTACCACAAACATCATTATCGATTATAACTTAGATATAATATATACTGTGCAACAATATTACGTCTGGCTCGTGCAAATATATCCTAACTTCATTTGATACACTGATCTGGAAATCATAGCTAGAGAACTGGACCTAGTAACTTAGTACGTTCAACGTAAATTATAAATTTAATATGGAAGGACGCCTACGCAAAAACAGCACCAAATGCCTAGGTTTCTGTGTATAATTTTTTTAATGTAATTGCTTATTATGTCAAAATGATGTGGCAAGCTGGCTCGAAGTTCAAAAGTTCGCAAAATTCTGGCGCCGGTTGTATAAAACTCTAACTATATTTTTGGGCAGTCAAACCATAGTTACCTGCATGGAACATGATCCTGACTGGACAATTACAGTAATTAAGTTACAGTAGCTACCTTTTTATACAACCGGCTCTAAAAAATTGGACTAGAAAATCAAGGAACACGGCCGCTGAACTGATTAAATTCACAGTTACTACCAACATTTTCGTATTAAGTTAGACCCTCCCTCAGTAATAGTGGATTTTTCGTAACTGGATTCAGTAAACAATAGGTGCGTTAACTGTATCATTTCCCGATCAATGAATTTTAATCTTACTCACATGTATAAATTATACCTGATTTGGTATCATATATAACAATATGCATATAACCATGGATTATTCCTTTTGAGATCTCACTTCGCGGTCTCTATAAAGGAAAGTTAGGGAGAGATCAGCAATAATTGTAGCTATATAGCCAACTAAAATTATACGTAGTTTAAAAATAAGAACCTCAAACCAATTGGCTTAAATTGAACTACAAAACAAGTCTGCTAGAACTGAGAATTTTTTTCGCACATAATCTAAATAATTTGCAATATTAATAAGGGCAATATAGATTGAATTCGTGATTTCTTGCTTAGGTATACTGTATATGAACTCCGACCTCGTCCATAGGCAGCCCAATGGCGACTCGCGTGTTCAGGCAATGTAGGCATTATATAGTATATATATATCCTATAGGATATATATAGCTATACTATATAATGCCTACATTGCCTGAACACGCGAGTCGACATTGGGCTGCCTATGCCTCGTCAGGACAATCGGCGAATATATTAATCGGGATGTTTTTGTGGCTTACCTTTGGATTTGCATACATTTTTGACGAACTTCGCGAATTTTAAGTTGCAAATTATATTTGCTCGGGAAGACGTCATTGTGCTGGACGAAAAACTCGTTGGTCTCTTTTTCAGTTGGAAATGGCCCGTGCTCCTGGAGAAATTGTTGAACTAAGTTTCTTTTATGATCCATGTTTCGTTTTATGCCAAAACTAGCTGAAGTGTCTTGATTAGTACTCACTCCTGCAGCGGCTTCGGCAAGTGCATCAAGTGCATCGTTGCACGTATCAGATGAGTCTTTTGTGTTGACGTCTTCTTTGGGTTGATCCTCGATCTTCGTTGGTGTGGCACATTTTGGAGTATACTCAGGGAGCTCAGCAAAACGTTGCTCGAAATTTACTTCAGACAGAACCCTATGAAACGGAAACCAATGTTTTACTTGAATAATGCTTGACTATATATACCGTATTTTAAAGAATGGTTCTTTATAACAGGGCGAGGATTATAGCTTATGTATACCTGATGCAATGGAGTTACCTTATGTTACAATAAGAATATATTGACTCCTCTATCTGTGTTAAGGTATAGTCTTATTTGACAAACAAGTAGTTGTTATATGATATAAAACTTACTGTTCGTAGCATACAGTAGTTCTATATATAATATAAAACTTACTGTTAATATAGTATAGACGTTATATAATACAAAACTTACTGTTCCATTCCATCTGGAATGAATTTCTTTAGAATATTCTTTGACGCTTTTCCTTCTTTCTCTGAAGGTAGCTTCATGTCCTTTCGTGAAGATGGTTCGGACAAAATCCCAGAGCTCAATCCTTGAGACTTTTGTTGATTTATTTTGTCAGGCTTAACTGTCGTTTCCACACCTTGGTATCTACTGTTTGTTGCAACTTTTATTGGCAACTTTTCACGATTTTGAGCACTTGATGTTTGTGGTGCATTATAGCCAGGCGTAATTGACGACTGCAACTGTATATTCAGCACTGGAGAAATAAGGGTATTACCAAAGGGGTGTCCGATGTGGTTTACATTGGGCCTGAGTAGAGTTGTTGGACTACCTGGGACCTGCGCAGGTAAAGCAAGGGGTGCCATTTGGGACATGACTCCTTCTTGGAAATGCAGTCCTGCATAAACAAATGGGGACATGAAAGAACCAGTTGGAACGTGGGAGTAAACCAAACTCTGTCCGTTGAATGAGCTCGTATTCAGGGGAATACTGCCATCGGAAGAGTAAAATCGTGGTACACTTCGTCCATATTGTGTACTATCAGCGACTGGAGATTTATCCGACATTTCGGCAACTGTTCTGTTGTTTAAAAAATCTTTGCTTGTCGACGCCATACTAGCCGAGGCACTAGGGTCGATTTGTCCTAGTTTCGGTTGAAACACGGTCTTGCCAGGCGTTGAAGGCCTCGACAACGCCGTTAGCGGTTGGCCAGGCGTACAACGTAATAATCCTTCATTGCTGCTGGACAGAGGTACAGATCTGATCCCAGTACTGTTTCCACTAGAAGGAAGTGTGTCATTCTCCGCACTCTTAGAAAGTAATTTGCCTTCCTCCCTTGATGCTACGGCTTTTTTAGACTCAATGCTTGTGAAAGCACTCTTTAACCCAGAATGAAGTGTCGACGGAGATTTTGTTTTTGTCCCAGGCAAAGACAATGAATAATTATTATGTTGTGATGTTGAACCACCTCTATACTTTGCTGGTATATCTGTAGAAGGATGTACCAGTGAGCGCTGGTGGCTTTTACAATCGGGCGTCCACGGTCGACTGACCGGAATTGGCGAAAAATAGCGTCCTACTTTTGGCGTTGCACTTCTGGCTCGAATAGGGTTTATTGGTGAAAACCTTTGTTGAGGAAAACGTTTGTTTTCCATTAATTCATCAACATCGGATTCGCCTAATTCTTCACCTAAAAAAATTAACCTCTGTTTAGACTACAGTCAACACAAATATTACAAGGACATCATGTATTCCGTTTTTTAATAATTAAAGCAATTGGGTCGTTGTCTCTCATTGCAAATTCGGAGACGACAAAACTCCATTAAAAATGAATGGATCCGACAAATATAGATCGTATACCGACCCTTGCTTTGTTTATAAAATATAGTAATCTAGTATACAATATAGTAATATAGTAAATATAGTAATATAGTAATTGGTTCTTTATCCTATATTTGTATTATTGCGTAATACAAAGAGAGTGATATTCGGGAATACCAGTAAGTATGAGTAATTAAATTATACCTGAAACAATTTCCTTGCATTCCAAAGCCGAGAAATCTTCTTGTTTAGAGGCGTTTTCGTGCTCTACCTCTTCTTCTGCATCCCACAACTTATCACGGCCTTCGCTTTCAAATTGCACAGCCACCTTTAATCCACAAATATAAATAGACAATTCAAATCACTATGGTACGGAACGGTAGCTCAGAAAACATTACTGGAGCGTGAGGCAACCAGCGATGACAGAAAACACTACTGGAGCGTGAGGCAACCAGCGATGACAGAAAACATTACTGGAGCGTGAGGCAACCAGCGACGACACAATTTTGGGGAGATATACTGTATAACCTCAAGGGATCCCTTTGGTGTTTTAGTTATGTACCCCACTATTATTATATACAACTTTTTAAAAAAACAATACATAGATTTTAAAGTGTATAAATCCATACTAAAACGTACAAACATGCAATGTTGTATAAAATGGTTTTCGGAATTTCAAGCAGACGGTAACAAAAAAAACTAAATAATTACTTTTGCCAATTGTGAAAGAGAATCTGCGGTATGCTGTGATGGCGAGCAGACCTGTGATTCAACAGACGTTTCTCGAAGCTCATTTGCAGGCACACTCTTAGATCGCTTGCTATTTGGTCGACCAGTTAGTTCCAAATCAATTTCGCCACCTTCAGTCAACAATTCCTCTGTAATCGACGATCTTCGTTCCCCTTTTCGCGCTATTTTTTTCTTCTCTTTGTTGCACCACTTCCACTCGGGGTGTTTCCGATAATGGGCCTCCTTTACCTTAAAAATATACGAAAACATGTTTGAACCTTACATCGCCGGGGGTTATACTTTCACCGAACATATACACCGAGCAAAGTAGTCAATGTTCCTACGACAAACCTGGTGTGCAAGATCCTGGTACTCTTGTTTCTCGTTCGGCCCTAATGCATACCACCACTCTCCCAGTATTTTACTAACTGTTCTGTTGTCTTGATGTGGATAGCGCTCATGAACTCTTGCTCGATGTCTTTTACTGAATATCATGAATGCGTTCATAGGACGTCTTATATGTTCTTTATCCACATGATTGTCCTACATGAAAACACGCGAGTCAGTGTATGTAGCGTTTTAAATGGCTATATTGGTTAGATTTTTTATCCACTTATCAACGGAACTAATTAAGCAAAATGATCAAAAAACCCATGCAATGAGCTGTTGGACAACTGTTGGATGAGAGCTTTAATAAAAGAAATCAATTCTGACCCCACATTAGTCAAAATAATCAAAATTAGTGTTGGTATAGTTACGGCATTCATGAATTAACTCGGGCAGCAAAACAGATTTACTATGCCCCGACGTTTACATGTAATTGCAAATAAAACTGCGAATCAAAACTGTATTGGTGATGATAAATCATAAATTACCTTTATTGGTGATGATAAATTGTCATCAATTTCGTCAGATGTTTCCCCAGCCTCATTAGTTCTATGATCATGACTTTTCATGTAGTTTGGATCACAAGAGGGAGAATGGTTCATAACCGACCAACATGCTACAGTATTGGGTGGATGATCACGCTTACCATCAAATGGCTTGCCAGCACCACCTTCTTTAATACCCTGGGTAGTGGTAGTTCTGTTTTTATGGCTATCTGGATACCCGGTGAACATTAAAACGGGTAAGATAGCTTGCCAAGGGTATAATGGAGTTGTAAATGCTCCGATTTGAACGGTTGGCTTATCTTTCTCAGCTGATGAAATTTCATCTTTTAAAACTTGTTGATTTTTAGGGCCTTCTTGCTTGATTTCAAGAGTTTTAGCTGTTTCTATATTATTTAGCAACGATTGGTCCTTTCGATTGTTATGAAATATTTTTCCGTTGGTTGATTTTGTTAAACTGGTCTGTGTATATGGAGTGAAAAGACTCGAGGAAGTAACAGCAAGTGGTTGTGGAGCTGGCGAATACAAAACCTTACTGGGTGCTGGAGTTAAAGCGGATGGGGCAGGTAGGTTGGGGGTGACAAAACTCCTCTTCCCCCTTATTGCAGGAGGTGTAGGTAGGCCTGGCGAAACAGTTCTGCTATTCACACCTGGTATTGGCGAAAATGACATCTTTGTTGTTGGTGTGCATGGTGATACCAGTGGCGCAGGTGACATAATTGATGGCGTGTTGTTAAAACTTGCTCTTTCATCGCGTCCAAACATCTGAATTCCAGAGTCAGGGCTGATGGCATGGCGATTGTGGTGTTCGTTTACAAAATGCCCTATTTTTGTCACAACTTGCGCAAGACTTTTCGTAGGAGTCGAATTCATTATAGGATGAGGAGTGACGCCGCTATTTTCATCAAACGACGTTCCCAGAAAGGGTGAAGGAGTTTTGGACGAAAAAGGCAACGGAGTAGTTAAGGTTGAAAATGGTGTTGGTCCACGAGAGCCAAGAGAAACTAGACTCATAGCTGCTTCAGTCTCCATGTCCTTTATGTCACTATCAAAACTATTACTCCTATCACATTCACGTTGAATGCTGCTGTCACTCTCTCCTCCTGATTCCCACTCAATGGCGCCTTCTTTAACAAGTTTGCCCCGCCGCTCACCAGGAATAGCGGAATTTGACCGAATCGACTTCCCTTTCATGGATAAATGCCTTGAGCAAAAACCTCTACGCTGAGACTCCTTATTGCAATAGTCCCTTGAGCAAAGTCTTCTCCACTGTTTACCATTGAATTTCTTTCGTATTCCAGTTGGTGTTGTAATGACATCCCCCTTCTTATATTTTGGTGGTGTGGTAGGGCCACCTGTATTGGAATTCTTTCGAAGTGTGTTAGAATGTTGACCTGACCAGCTATCTACAGGCAATTCTTTTGCGATGCTCCCTGCATTATCATTTTCATCACCGGACAAAGTGCTATCAGAATCTTCATGCAAAATATTACCAGTATTTCTGTTATTGTTACTATTCCATGCAGCTCTTGCTTCTGTTGCACTTGCCCGCTTTCTTTTGCGTGGTGATGCAGACACATTTTGTGACTCAAAATTAGGTTCTTCCTTAGCTACAAACTCTGGCTGATCCCGTTTTGGTTTCTTTGAAGTCTCCATGGAGGTCTTAACATCCATCTTGTGGCCTCTTGGTCTCATTTTGTCCTTTTTGTGTATGCTGTTGACAAGAATCAGTATTTTAAAAGAAAATATGCTTTAAGGAGCAGGAAGAATGCATCTAAATGTTGAAATAACTAGTTCTCATCACAATAATTTAGAATTTCAGGATATAAATATTTTCTTTTCTTTTTTTAATCTATAGAATCTGTCTATCATTTTTCTTATCTACATACTATCTTTTAAATTGAATCTAATGCAAGATCTTCAATGGAAGTATCTGGAATGTACATAATATTACCTGCTTTGATGAAAAAGAAATATTAAAATTGGATGTCCAACCTGTGTAAACCATACTCATGCCAAAACTCTACAATGGACATGAGCAAATTGCAAATTTACAGCAAAATTTCTAGGCAAAATCCTCTCATTAGGTAAATGATGAAGAAAAATAAAATGCTCTAGATGCAAATGCAGACTACAATACATCAATTAGAGTACCTAGTGAACAATTGTACACATTGAACCTGCTGCATACTGCACAACACAGCTAGAAAACAAGCTTATTTCTTACTCCTTTTCTGCTTGCTTTTTAAAGAATTTTTTATAGAAATATATTTTAGTAAAAATGAGCATCAGACACCTTTTTTGTTATGGTTAATTTAAGTGAGATATTGACAAGTGTGATAATAAAGGATCAAATTAAGCTAAAATACTTCAACATGTGTCAAACAAATACATATATTGAATAGATAAGAACTAATTTCAGTCATTCACAAAAATATGTAGACTGTTATATATTCAACTTCATCGCTGGTTACAGCGGTAGACTAAACAGCCTTCACACAAATAAACCTAAGATTCCAAAAAATCTAGTACCAGGTAATAAGTATTTAATACACAGGAAATAGAATTGTAAGAATCACAACTTTAAACAAAAATATACTGTATACATATATGTATAGTCATTCAGTATATATATATCTTATTATATATGACTGTATATATTAAGGATACCATACCATTTTAACCCAATGTACTATGCATGTTCAGAAATGGCATAACGGCCACTCTCAATATTTGAACACAACGCTTGATGAAAGATTGGCAGAGGTGAAATGTAAACAAAAAGAAAAATTGCCTTCTGCACAGAGCTATATGATTAGTGGTTGACACTGTTTCAGTACTGGTACGGGGACTACCTTACCGTTCACTCGGGCAACAAAACTAGTCTTTAGTATATAAGTTTAATTCGTCAATGAGAGGAAACGAATTGTTTTTAACGACTGTATATCACTAGCATCGTAATTTATAATTTATGCATGACTATGTTTAGCTGTCGATGCAGTTTTGTCAGACAATGAAAAGCCGTGTTTCATTTTCATACTTCCTATAAAGTTGTCGAAAATACCTAAATTGCCCTAACTCGTTACTGTAATACACCGTTTGTCTGTCTCACTAACACAGGTTTTGTTTAACATAGACTTTAGCCGAACACAACAATTGTATATACAAACATCTACAACACTTCGAATTATAGAACTCACATAACAAAAGGCACGTCTCGACAAGTTTGTAAAATGTTCCGAGTCCTCTACGTATATAGTTTATTCAGTACACCGAAAGCGAAATGATTTCTTCTGATATCCCAAATAAATAAAGAATCATTAAAACAATAGCATCACGACTAGTCGTGTTTGTTGAATGTAACGCATGCAACAGCATTTAGTAACCAAAGAATACCGTCTATAAGCACTGCTTGCAGAGGTCACACGAATCGAGTATAGCCTCAAAATCTTACATAAATCATGTAAACCCGCAATTCTAAAATCTACGTAAAGAAACAATAGTTTCTCTTAAATCGAAACGATATGGCAGAAGACAAATTAATTTCCTCCTACGAATGTATTATGTATACAGTTTGTACGACATCACACACGATCAATTCAGCTTCCTTGATCAAAGTATAGATTGTAGTTTCAAATACACCAGGCAATAACAACTGAAAGAACGAAAAGAAATACACTTACCTATATTCATTGACTTGGTTAATTTTCAATCCAGGAAACTGGCAAAAAGACTCGTAGTACCACAGGTAGTATAAAATTCACAGCCCGTTTTAAAAAATTTCTGGTAGCCGACAGAAATTTTTGTGAATGAGCTCCAACGACAAGAATAACAAGCTCTCTGATTGGTCAATTTCTGTGCATTAATTATTGACTGACCCTCACTGGTTTGAAGGGTTTTCACATAGCCAATCAAAAATCGTTCCTTGTGGGGAGGACAATGTCTCACGTCTGGGCCCAAACTTGTTCTAAGATCCATATCAGACAAACACATGAACAATCGACTGGATTAATTAAAAATAGTTATTCAAAGTTTTTCAAGTTCTGGAGTTCCCCCTTCATATGTACAACACTGGTTGAACTAACGCTAATACTAGAACCAATTTTGACCTTATACGTAATGGCACCAGTCAGTGGATGGCGATTTGTAGATAAGAGGTATAGATAATAAATATGGAAATTTCATCGACCCTAGGTCTGCTTTCCACCGTCGCGTTTTTTGCACGTACGTACACGCACGTAAAAGCTTAAAACCCTCTAAGATCCATTAAGATCTCTAAGATGAGTCTAAAATTGCCAGAAAAAAACACACCAAATCATGTACAGAATCCAATCCTGTGCATCTATTCAACCGTTGATTTCATAAGTATCATTTAAATGATTTTAAACTTTCACGTGCGTGTACGTGCGACGTGCGTACAAAAAACGCGACAGTGGAAAGCAGCCCTTAGAGAGAATCGTAAAATTACAATAATAGCAGTGCAGTAATATCCAATTTATGCAGAGATAAAAGTAAAATGTGCAGTTTGAGCAAAAATGAGGCAAAGATTCTGAGGAGAAGACATGAGATATAGTCAGTCAAGACTGCTAAGTGCTTAGTTGAAACAACTGGTTGAAATAATTTTCTTGTATGATTGCATGGCGACTTTAGTAATTATAATAACTTGTAGGTACACCACGTAAGTATTAAATACTTACGAAATCAGTTAAGCATAGGGATGGTAACATGATTGGAGGTTTCAATACCTCAAAATCATCTCACGCTTCGCTGAATCTCGGATAACCGGGGTCATGTAAACAGCCCTTAGTCTTTAATTAACATGTTTCAGGAGTCAGGACTCATCCTTGCTGACAATCGGCGGTATGCGGGGGCTCCTCTCTTTTTCCAAATTTAAAATTCCCTCTATCTATGCCTACTTTCTATCTAGTTGTCTAGTGCTGATGACTAGGCCGCTCGCTTAGGCCGCAGTTATTATTCCATCTCGCATTTGATGTCCTGTTGTGCATTTCCACATTAATTTACGACACTTATTCACCTTTGTTCCTTTATATTTTCCTTTTTAATTAATCAAGGGCAAGTCAAGCCCAAATTATGCACAGAACTGTAGACAGTTTGGAGCCAAGTTTGCAATACTAATTTATATATATATATATATATATATATATATATATATCAAATTTATTGAACAATGTTCAAACGGAGAAAATGCAACGGGACACGAGATCCCATGCGAGGCATTCTTCCGATCACATATTTACATATACAAAAACAAATAACACACAGAAGAAACATAAGTTATATAGCTACACGCATCGAAGAATAAACATATGCTATGCACAAGCTCGAAAATCCAAAGTTGTTGATTTGTTTTTTGTTTGTTTTTTTGTTTTTTTTTGTTGTTTTTTTTATTTTTTTTTTTTCATGGGAAATAAAATAAATTTATCAGAAAGAGATAGTTGCCTAAGATAATTTAAAAACCATAGTAATATTTAGAATCAGGCAATAGCATATGTTCTCTTCGCATGTTAATTAAGCTCTATGACATGAACAGGTTCTATGCAATGACCAAGTACAGGGCATGTCGACGTCGTAATAAGACACTAATGAATGTAAATACGTTCTTGATAGAAACGATCTGAACATTGCCAGGCTACTTAGCTCTGAGGGTTGAGCAGTTCTACAGACCAAGTTCCAGATAGGAACGATACGATTAAAAAACGATGACTGGAATGTACTTGTTTTACATGAGGGTACTTTAAGCATTAAACTAGGGTTTAAACAATTACGAGTACGACTATGGCTCAATAGTGATACATAGTCAAAAATATTCAAATCGTAATACCCATGCATAGCTTTAAAAAAGAATGTTAAGTCTTTTATCTCTCTATCGTAAGATAACGGAAGAATATTGAGAGCTAACAAACGTTCTTTGTAGGAGATTTCTCCCATCTTTACTTGTAGGATCCATCGAGTAGCTCGCCTTTGAATTCGTTCTAGTTTGGCTTTGCATAATTTCAGGGACACTGGGACAGTGAGTGCATGCTAAGAGTGTTTATATATTCGCAAAGTTATAGAACAGACACTCGTCTTTTCCATGTGGATTATAATGTCGATTGACGCCGATCCTTTACGCTTACAGAGTAAACAGTAAGAAAATTATACAGTGGTATCCGAAAATGCAAAAACCAATTGTACTCACTCCAGATTACAAAGCTTATTGTTAGAGCTCAGTGGGTTTTCAATACTTTTGTTGCTATAACAACGGCTTATAAATACATAATTGAAGGTTTATTTGGATTATATTTCACGAGAAGACAGCGTACTGAAAAATATTGGCTGTAAAGTGTGGTATATGATTTTTCATGTCTTCTACAAGATGGGTGCTATGTGTTTGTGCGATATCAACTTTGACATATCTTACCCAATGCCTTATCTTAGACGGCGAAATAGCCACGGATAGAAAGGTATTGTAGTGTATTAAAATTGTAAAAACGTTTGCGCATAGCCAAAGAAACTAAGGCACTAAATAATACTTTACTGTGATACAGCAAACAACATAATCTACTATTTATTGTGTGTTTTAAGGATTGGCAATTTGTAGCTCGATTTTGTTTTCGAAAATCCTTGGCGAAAATGACGTTTCATTTTGTGTATCCAGAAGTAAGATGATCAGGATCTATATATTCCATTTCTATTTAATTTAATATAATATATGTACATACTTCGCAGCTGCAAGTGTCGCTGGACGCTTGTTTACGCATTGTAGAAATATTTGTGCCCAATTTAGTTTTTAATTTCAAGTTCATGCTGTTTTGTTACTATTTAGCTTCTTATTAAAAGGCAGCACTTAATGAGTGTCCCAAACCCAAAGTAATATGAAAACTACTGATACATTCACATGCTAACCACACAGCTCACTTAAAAGTTTAAGGGTTCTCTGCCCCCAACATAACATAATTATATATTTCAGTGGGAACCTCTGTTAATAAACTGGGTATCTGGGTGTACCATTATCCTTTTGCACCTTAAGGCAATATTTTTCACCTAGTATTTAATTCCCTGAGAGGCAAAATTTAACTTGTTTTGACATAGCTGACAAGTACAGACACATTTGCATCCATGGGCCCAGGAGATACATAGGTTATTAAAACAACTATGACAATTGAGAAGAATATAAGTAGAACATATTTCAGCATTTGGCTGATTCTCAAGCAAATTGCATCCCCACAGTATTTAATTTTTTATATAATGATTAATGTATTTTTTAATTTTGTCATTGTACATTGACTTAGGATTATTGCTGCCAAAATGTTTTGCTCTATTTTGATAATCAATGGAAAAGGGTTTATCCACAAAAAATGATGGTACTGTATGATATAATACTGTATAATTCTTGATCCTATAAGAAGTGCAATACTGTAGCCTGATCAATTGTGATCTGCCAGCACATTACATAAATCATAATAATAGTAATGATGACACAGCCAGAAATCGGTTTGCTTAGGCAGATAATTCATCGCAATTTTCACAATAAAGTAATATGGGATGTTTTCTTTAATTACAGCTAGGTATGAGAAGAGAAATAGGGGTGTTGCTATAGTACTATGATTTCTATATACTCGATTGCAGATTTGTAACCTATGTTGAAGTGTAACTTCAGGATCAAGTGATTGTACCTTGAAATATACTACTATACTCTTGCTATTTTGGCAACATTTTCATATAATTTTTGTTGTGCTTGATAGAACTGTTCAGAAAAAGAACGTGCTTTGGTACCTGAATACAATCAGAAAATCACTTTATCAGGAGCTGATGTGCACAGTGGCTGCTATAGAGTGAAATCAAGTGGTGGGAAATTCAACCTCAATTGTGGAGGTACTATAATTACAGTATATTACAAACACTTATTCTACTAGCTAATCCATAGATTTTTTCCCCGTCAAAGACAGATGTCGATAAATTTGTGATTGGGGTAGATATTTTGTATATTTGGTATTGATCCTTTAAAATGTACTCAATTGGAACTTGCAAAAGTAGGTTAGGCCTCTTTGTCTCTTCGTCTGCACATAAGGCCTCAGAGATTGTCATTGGTCTCAGTCAGCTGGACAGCTGCTTGCTATTTGAGTTTCCCTGCTCAAGGTGAAGCTTCTATGCGGAGTCCATCATGTGGTGACTCTAGCCAAGGCTGCAGATTGCCTACAGATTGTGATCTCCACCTATTTTTTCTGCACTTGCTGGGTCCGCACTTGCTCCCAAATGACCTAGGTCTTTGTTTGTGATTGTTTTTGGCCAAAAGATGCAGAGTCTAGTATTTTTTGACCTGTTCTTGAAAATGTTTTGTTTGTGGCTGATGGTTTTGTTATCTACCAGGATTCTACTTCTCACTGAAGGGTGCTGAAAGTTCTGTGTTAATACATTCAAAACTAGCCTGCTATTCATTGCATGAGTGGTCACCAGCACTGCATCGTTATGCATGTTTTTATATAATTTTTATTCATGTAGGTCGACGTTCTTTCATTTCTGCACGAGCAAGATGGTGGTATATCGCTGTTAGTAATTGTAAAAGTAGTAAGGTTGGTGCCTTCTAACAATATTGTATAAACAAAACTGGTATGAAAAAAAAATCTACTTATAAATATGTATCTCCAAAATTTTAGATATGTGCTGATATGATAGATATGATAGATATAACTACATATTCATTTTATAATATACTATACCATCAGTAATGTCTTACAGTATATTTGTATGTGTGCAGAGATCTTGCATGCCTGTATATTTATGTTCTAATCATCACTTGTGTTCAATTTTTTGGGGTTCTTTTAAGGGTTTGAGGTTGAAATACAATATGGTTTTAACTAATGGGGAAACATTTTGGAGAAAGCATTTCTCCGCTGATGAACAGTGTAAGCTACAATTGTATTTCTCTTTGAGTAAAACCAAAAGAGTGAGTGTGTCATAGCCTTACAGTATACATATACTATATTATCTACATACATATATGTTCAATCCCATCATTGCAATCTAACGCCAGGCATCATTCACTGTTAAAAACATTAGCTTGTAGATACACCAACTTTGTGAAGTTTTGGTCTGTTAAACCCTGGCCTTCTTCACTCGTCAGGGGTCAGCTGTAGTACAATATAGAAATAATCATAAATTATTAGTTTACTGGTGTACCACAAGCTAATATCTATCATTATCACTATGCAAACAAGCAGAATGAAGAGTTTGCTATATGTTCCACACTATTCTCTTTTAGACATATTGGAAACTGACATTGTGTTTTTAGTGTCATTTGTTCTCCTTTCCATTTTTGCTGGAATAGAAGCAAGTATGTTAGATTCCTAATCAATGGTGACAGAACCGGGGGGGGGAGCTCCGGGGGGCTGTTAACTCCCCAAAATAAAATATGTTCCACCTCCCCTGGTCCTAATTTAGTTATTATTTGTCATTAACTCCGGTCGAAATATATGAGAAGACTAATAAACGCTTTTTAAATTTTTAGAAATTCTTGCTTCTAGAAAGCTGTTTCACTATACGTTTAAACTTTTTCTATGGTCAATATTTTGTGAAGGTTAGTTATCACTGCACCATACAACTCCTGTTTATCAAAAGCATACTTGCATTTTATATATAGGTCCTCTAGGTATCGAACCTTGCACCGGCATCGCAAAAGCGTAGGTTTGATTTCTGCCGGAGTACTATAGGTATAGGTGACTCATTTTTCCATCAACTGTTCCTGGCTTGAATTTGAAGTGTGTATAATTCCACTCGAAAGACCCTTTAAATCTCTAGAATTTACCTGCACCGAGTGAAGTGCCAAAAATCATAATCGATTTAGCATCTTATATGTACAATATCTCGAAATATATAGTATGCATTGCCACAGAGTTTTTCTTGGGTTTAGTTTTCTCCTTGGTTATGTACGTTAGTTATTACACTGATTACGGATTGGATGGAAAGCCAAATCTTCCAGTTAAAGTTGTTGGTGAGTTTTTAACATTAAAATACGTTTTAAGTCAAATACGTCGTAAAATACGTTAGTCGTATATCGATTTACCGCAAATCCTGGATCTCTTTTCGTAATATGCGAAAGATTATATATGGGCGTGTAGTATTTATTCATTTTAGTGATTTTGAGGTGAATCTTAGCCATTATTTCTTTAAGGTCAAGCTATGCATTTTATTGGGCACATAGTGTTTCTGATTATGTTAATACTTCTTGCAAAAGGCTGGACCGTAACGAGGTAGGAATCACAGACATGCACGAATCATGTGTTATTTACGTGGATAATGTTTAGTCCGAGTGTCAAATATGCTCACTACTTTCACAATAGCATTCCTAAATCTTAACGTTTTAATTTCTATTCTATACCGGCTGCATTTCGCTCAAAATCTATAGTACATTTTGCTTTATAGTAACTACTATTTCAACTTTAGTACATTTCATTTTTAGCAATGACTTTTCCACTGAGGATGTTAATCCCTTATTTCCTTTCCTTTTAGAGGTCGAATGAGCTCGAGTGGGCAAGTGAAGCTATCAGTTTTCTCAACATTGTATTGTGTCTGCTTTATTATACTTTTTATATATGAACAAGTGGTAAGTTAATATAATTACTGTTATACAAATATATTTTGTACAGAGCGAAAATTTAAATCACTTATTTCTCAAAAATTCTTTGATCAGATGGTTGGTCGGTTAGCTGGAATGAAAAAAAAACCTAGATTCGATACGAACGTGATATATTATTATTACAAAATATGTTATTCCCTTCGCAGATATTCGATCCAGGCAGAGTTCTGTACATTTACGAGAGTCCTGCTGGAATTGGTATTTGTATACTCCGTGTCGTGGTAGGTAACATCACCTTTCATTATATCACCGCTTGGACAATAGATTTGAAAGAAAACTACTTTTGATTCATCTTATTAAAGGCCTGGTGTTGGTTCTGTTATGCCACTTTCTTTACACTCAAACATTTCCCAAAGAAAACGGCATTTTACTATCCATTCTGGTTTATGTACTCTGGATGGTAAGATCATTTTTCATTCAAAGTGACCCTGTTGTTTAATGATAAATGCAGATTTTCATACAGTGCATGTGCCTATCAACGTTTGCAATTTAGTTCTTTGTGGAATATTTTTTCGAGGATTCGTTATTCTTGAAGCCAAAGCTTGTTTTAAACAAGTATTAGAGTTGTAGTATGGCACAGGAGTTGTTTTTTATGACTGTATCATGCATGCTTCAGGAATAGCTGTATGGTCGTTATATTTTATATAAACTGCAAATCTTCTAGGTTTCTTGTTGGTCCCACCGTTATTCTTTTTGCCGCATACGTAATTGAGGATTATCAAAGGTTAGAATTTAAGAATGTCGTTTTGTCTATACGTCTTATTCAAACGTTTTACGTGGGACATACATCTAATTTATACTACACTTGGCTCAAAGCTTACAAATTATATAAAGAAGTATCTTTTAGTCGATATGGACATTAATAAAACATATACCAATTAAAACTACTGCAATGTCTCCGCCAGCTTTCGATAACTGCTTCCTATAGACTGCGTCATTTTTCGTTAACTGTACACTATCTTGTGTACTTTAATAGTCAACAATGTTTTTACAAAAAATATTTTACGTATAGGCGCGAAAAACAAACAAATAGGCTGTGCGCTTCCGATTACAAATACACAATAACTGCATGAACTGCATGAAGTGAAGAATTTTTCAAGGAATTACATGCCGTGAATATTTTTCTTCAGAAGATTTAAAAGGCTATAAAAGTTTAAAGGATTGTATTCCCTTCGCTTTGCCTTGAGCAGCGTGTAAATATGAATAATTGTTTTTGTTTATAGAGAACAAATTGTTAACGGTATCGAGTTCGGAGTATCCTTTTTAGCCCACGCAATATTTTTGGTAAGTTTTCATCATGAATACTCGATCATGTAAGCGAGAAACAAAAAAGGTTAGGTCAACCGTGGGTATGCGTCGTTTACCGACTCACCGCTAAAAATTGAATCTGCATAATTATGGCGACGCATCGTCCCCAATCATTTGGTGTTGGTTCATTGAAGCAAGGACTTTCTATTGTTTCACTTAAATATTCAAATGTTGTAACCTACGTACGTCTGCCATTTTTATCAAGGTGCTTACTCGTCCTGCCGCAGCCAACACAAACTTTCCCTTTCACATGAGAACATGCCAGGTAAGCATTTAGTTGCAGGTAAGCCTATTGAGCTGCTCTTTTACACTTGAAGTAAATCCTACACAAATGAGCACTTCCGTTACAGACTACCTTCTCCGCTAAAGGGGAGCCTTATAGTTAACTTACAAACGACGAGTAATCAGGCTTGCTCTTAACCTTTACCCAAATGAGCTACGTATCGTTTCAGTCATTATTGTACAGGTCTTGGATACGCTTTTGACCTGTGAGCTTTGATATCAGCAGTGAAGACGGAAGCCGTTTCATTCATGCACGATTCATTCATGAAACGAGGCTCTCTTGTCAAATGACGTAATCAGTTGGTGTATGTGTTTTTATGATAGATTGGTATTTCAAGACCTAATGAAGATGAGGTGGCATCTGGTTACGCCTATGCACCTGATAGTTTTGTGGGTGTTTTCACAACGGATACTTTTGCAATATTTCAATCCTCGAGTCAGCAGGTATTATTTATTTCAAAGAAGTGTAATATAGTCTATAGTATAAGGTAAATTTGTATAGGAAATTAAACATTTCGAAAAGTATAGTAATGGCAAACTAATGCATGATCGATTACATAGTAGCTATGATAATAATAAATATGCATATTCATGACAGGATGCATGCATTGGGTTCATTTCTGCTTTATAGAATTTTCATAATTATTCAAGTCTAAACCGTTCTGATATTCGAACGTTCATGAATGCTGCTAAATAGTTTATTCAGTCAACGTATGGCATAGAAATACTAAAACTTTCAAGATATATTGGGATACGATTTGATGTTGAAACAATTTTGATGTTGAGACGATTTTGTGCAAAAGAGCTATCGGAATTATGCACAGTAGAGTGACCAACTCATTCCTGACGTCGTCTAAATGCGTCGTCTAACAAAGACTTTTTCAATAATTTCTAGACTAACGTTTTGATCGACTATATATCAAATTAATTAATACGTATGAAATCCGCATTATTTCTGGGCTTTATTTAGTTTATTAGGAAGCTTGCACCCTTAAACGTTTTTTTTTGTATTTTTTGTGTAGGGATCAAGTAACACTCCGTCGAGTAAAATAAATTCCAATAATAATACTCAAAGAATAGAACGACCTATTCCTATGACAACAATTTCATCCAACAGTTTTCCATCAACAACACGAAGTGCAGAGACAGACCCACCACCCTCATATAGACAGGCGACAGGACTTCATGACCCGTAACATATCAGTGAAGTTTCAATACGTAACAGCGGTTCTCCTTGGAGCGGAATTTCACTTTTATCTTCAAGACTGGAGTGCTCGTTTCTAGCTTTTTAGCTAATTAGACGGAATTTTTTATTAACTGAACCGATGTAAAAATGCGTGAGGCGTCTGTGTGGACGAATTGTCCACAATTGTCGAAAATTGTCGCACGCAAAAAAATCCCGCCTAGTGGAAAAAGATCACTAACTGCCTAACATAATTTAATTCATTGATTTAATAATCTAAAGGCAAAAAAAAAATTTAAAAAAAAGATTATATCATCTGGTATGATATAATCTTGTATTACTTTATGTACATAATATGTGATAAATGCAATCATACATTTTTTACACTTTAAAATTGTTTTGTCTTTTTTTTTCACATCTTTATTTGGATTTGCCACTGTATATTGTTATATTCATGAATTGTGTTTCTTTACATCTATATCGTGCTCCTGCCTTCTTGCATTGTGTGCAGATGAGATATACATGATGTTTAAAAGAATCGTGATAGAATTTTACATACCATGCATTATATATAATTGTGCCAAACAGAGTCAGACTATTTGTTGAGGGGCAGCTTTTAGAGACCAATATGTTTTATTAATGTCTACTAGTTGGAAATAGCCAAAAAATCATGCATTAAAAATTGTCGTTCGAAAACCATTTCTTGTTTCTATGAAATGGAAAGGCTTGAATGTCATGCTTTCTTATATTGTTCTTCAAACTATCCAATAGCCAAGTCAAAACTGGGTAGTAGTTTGAGCATTTACCTTCCTTCCACCCAGCATATGTTTTTTCGCGCGAATTTCATATACTTTTTACATGAAGTATTTCTTTAAATTCTAATCGAATTATAATTTCCGCTCAAATTTTACTTTATATATATTTCCGAATATTTTGATTTTAGAAAGTATTTTTGAGGAACATATCTAAGCTATTGAAAATTTATTTATTATACTATCAGTGGATCTAAGATGTAAATCAAATCGCATCTAGATTAATTAATGGTCATTTGCTCGAAATTCATTCATTTTCTTCGGAAAAACATGTCTTCGGCTGCGCGAATAAGTTACTCTGAAAAGTATGTTGATGAGAAATACGAATATAGGTGAGCAAAAAGGTCTGGCATTGTTATTGTTTTATCACCATAAAAAACAAACATATCTCATAATTCGGGTTTTACCAGTGACGGATATTCATGTTACTAGGTGGTGGGGAGTGGGGACCCTCCCTTACTTTCTGTAGATCGGCAATTTGTTGGAAATTTTCGGTTACCTTGAAATTTGGGAAAAATTGAAATTTTTGGTAAATATAGGACTAGTAAGCAACATTTCTGAGTCTTTCTCAATAGGTATATTTTTCACTCTATCACTTTTCTAACTGTTTGCCCCTTGGGAAGAAAAAATGCCAAATAAAAACAAATTTGTGGGAAATTCGGGAATTCAAACTCAGCTGCAACTGGGTTTGAGTAAATTTTTTTAATAACTGGTTAACTCAATCAAAATGTTATGAATCACATTGATGAATTTCATTTCATTTCGTATATCGCAATGAATTTTAGGCATGTTATGCTGCCGCCTAATCTTGTGCCATTAGTGCCAGTTGATCATCTTATGACCGAAACAGAATGGAGAAATCTTGGTGTCCAACAATCTCCTGGATGGGTGCATTATATGATTCACTCCCCAGGTTAGGTATAATTGGGATTTATTACACCATACGCATTCATTTAATTTGCCTGATATCACTCCTCAACCCCCCCCCATTTAATCCCAGTTACCCCACCATTCTTAAAAAATACCTGTGAAATTGGCAAATTAGTTAGGTCTTATGAACATTTTACTTAGTTGTTCTACCTATTTGAACATCCTATAATTATTTAAATGGTCATAAGGCTGCATTTTTTTACCCTTAAAAACTGGTTTATATCACAGTTTTTTAGCCACTAGCAAAGTAGCAGCTGAAATGATTATTTTTGTGTACTCACTTTGTGTTTGTGTTTATTTTATAGAACGTCATATTTTATTATTTAGAAGACCAATTTCATTGCCACTTAATCCTAGCAATCCATTGGAAGGATGATCAAGACATGACAAAAAAATACTTTGCCTACTGTTACGTCACTAACATGTACTTCATAATAATTCATTTCTATTCATAAGAACATTGAAATGGTGGACCATAGAAAAAGATCAATCCAAGCATGAAGCAATATGCATGCTATGAAAACAGCTAGAGATATTTATATTATATATATATATATATATATATATATATATATATATATATATATATATAATATATTTCAGAGTTGACTTACTTGGGAGCGTAGGGATTGTCTCCTAGTCTTACTGATGTAATTAAACTTATTAAAGTATTGCCAAAGTGACTCCATTTGGACTTAAAAAGATGACAGTACTGCAAAAAATAATTAGGTCTAATGTAAGCCTAATAATATTATCAGGCTATTTATACTAGAAGTTACTATCGCAAGGGAAGTGCTGGCATCGCAAGTCCATTTATCACATGTTGAAGAAAAACAACGGCTGTTTAAACTAAATGTGTCTACTCTACAGAGGCTTTCTGGGCTTTTTTTCAAATGAATAATATTGTGAACATTGTCGTGAACAATAGGTGCATTAGATCATCCTCCGCGTCTTTGCATTAGGAAAGAACTATGCATTAGGTCTTTCCGCGTGCCTCGTGGCCGTACCTACGAAATCTTTGACGGCCTTGGAGCTTAGGTAATAAAGTGAGATGACAAGACAGAAAGAAATCTTCGAGTACATTGGCATTGCTCAGTAAAATATATCCTAGCCTCAAATTGACTCGATAGAGACCAAAGCATTGCATTCTTTGTTTAACAACTTTAACTTGCCTTTTAACTGAAGTTCCTACATTACATCATTGCGATAATGCGATCAACCAGTAATCTCCATCGAGTACGTACAGGAACTGAATTCCAAACTAGTTTCAGCTAAGTGCATTGATACTCAGGCAGTTATTCCTCCCCTTGTTGTTGCTCTCAGACTCAGAGTATTAATAATGTGAATATCCTCCAGATGTCTTTTTTAAATTTGAGCCTGCACCACTAATGATCGGGCCATGAAAACATGCAAAACCCACATCATTAACTGTGATCACACTTAAACTGGCCCCAGTTATACACGATTCTCCATGATCATGAAATTAAATTCGCCTCAACAACAAGGATTGTCATGACGAATGAAGACCTGTGAGCATGTAAAGTTGCTAATAAGGGTTGTTTGAATCGATAACCAACATGTATCGCAGTTGCACAATGTTATGTTCAAATTTTATCGATAATGCTAAATAATCTAATATGCCGCTAAATATTTTTTACATATTTATCGTCTTGATATGCTAATACTTGTCGTGAATCCTTAATAGCGCAAATGCATGCAAAGAGATGCGAACTTGCAAATCCACGGGAGAACGCATTTTCAATAATATTACCGATTAGTTTTTATGCGAAAAGTAGGCATCGTGATTAAATGGTGAATTTACGATACTTTTACATGGTAGCAAAGGGCTGCCCTAGTAAGTAAACGGCAGTGGGGGCAGCTGCCCACGTGGTTCCGGCGCCCCTCGATCGATCGCGTGCCGGGACGCTTAATTTGCGCTCGTCATAATACTTGCCAATTTGGATGAGATTAAGCGCCAGCTGCAGGATCGTCATCCTCATCACGTTATCTAGCGTATGAGCATGCAGTTTCAGGGCAAGAGGTTGAAACGTTGGACGAGACCAAGAACAACAGCGCTCAATGATTTTGTTGTCAAGGATATTCAAGAAGCACAAAACATTATAGAGAGAAATTCCCCAACTAGATGTGCAGATCCACAACCAGTTGGCTTGGTGTTTCAAAAGCCGCTACATCCCGCGGCTTTGCATGTAAGAAGATAACAATAGCTAAAACTACATGCTGGCTAACAATCACGCGCAAGATATCTCACTGATTATTTCCATGCAATCATCAATCATGCACCTTCTTCATTTGAGTTCCTCATGTGTTCTGGTTTAGCCTTACGCTATCTGGAATCCTGAGCCAAGTTGGAGGAAGACCCAGAAAAGATATCCAAAGTTGGCCTGTCACATGAGTACGTTTTGTTTGTTGCTAATTTCGGGTCGGACACAGTTAACCCAATACTTTCGTTTAATGACTAATACGTCATTCGGGATGTTCTTTGTCTAAAATATCAACAACTCAATGGTTATTGTCACGCTATAAACAGCAGGAAACCGTCCGAGTTGTGCTCATCCAATGATCTGATCTAAGGTATATCATTTAGACCTGGTTATATGTAGGCAATGTCTTTTGTCATTGGTTATCCCATAAAATGCTTTGTCTATTCAAAAAATCCTCCTCATTGATCACTGACACTGCATGGATCGTAGAGCATCGCCGATGAATTGCGACTGTAAGAAAAAGAATCCCCACGGCTGTACCAAGACCAATATTCACTTGAAAATAAATATCTAAGTTACAGCACAAGAAGCCTACAAAACGCAAATGCAATTCAGTTGTTGGACATGTCCGCGTACGTCCAGTCTACATGTTGCCCTGAAAGTACCCTGAAGAAACTTTAAAAAATTTCTTTTTTTCAGAAATGACGAATTTTAGCTGCGGAGAGCCGTTGAAAGACTGCCCATGGGATCGAGAAAGTAATGGTTACCCATAGTGCTAAGTATATACATGCCACATGGCTACATAGAGTTGTTTTTGTTGTTTTCACATTCAAAATGAAAAGTATCATAAAAAGAATGTCTTCATATTCTAAAGTATCATATACCGAGTTCTTCCAGATACACACAATTGGTGTCATGTTAGTTAATTTAATCCTAACGGCATCTTTTATTCAGGCTAGAATAGGGTATTTTGTAATTTGTACAACAGTAAAAAAACTGATCATTTATTATAACACTATACTCAAATGAAGAATTTGTTCAGTTGATTATAACATAGACAATCCAGACAACGTGAATGTCTTCTGGATTTTCTATGATTTTAACAGATTATGATTATTACTTACATTATAAACCATCCCTACCTGGGGATGTCAAATCGTCTATCAATTTTTTTACAGTTAAGCCACCGCTTATTGGTTACTGTTCACAAACGACGTCCCGATCCAGTTACCTTCATCCATTGGACCATCCTGCTTGGGCTCGTCCCCCCAAGTCGTACAGAAAGGGCGCGGTAGAGGAATTTCCAGTCCAAGGAATAGGTAAACCTGCATTTGGATAGTCAACTGGCGTTGTTTAGACGTATAAAAGCATGCTCTGTGACTATCCACAGATAGGCAATCTATATATTACAAATCCCTTGCATGTATGTATTCGCAGTTCCGAACATATTACCAAGAATCGATCTGAAAACCAACAAGGACACTTTTCTGAAAAATCTGGTAAGTGTGCAGCAAATTGTAGTACACAAAACTGACAAAAAAACAAGAACATCTTGTAAACCCACAATTTCAGCTTTAAAGCAAGACAACACGTTTACGGTAATATTTTGACAGCCTATTTCAAAGACAAAGTCATTGTCGTACCTGACTATGAAATCGAGTCAAAATATCATGACAGTAAACTGTTTGTTTGTTTTTCGAAGTATGTTCTGCTGGTAGTGGTTATATATAGTTAGATTCACATACGATTTCTGTCATTTTTAGAAAAAAGCAGGACCAGCTGGGTATCATACTCTTGGCCAATGTGCCGCTAAAACTATGGGAAAATCGATAAAGGAACAAGTATCATAAAAAATCTCATAACGGAGTAAAAGTTCTTGAGCAGTATCAGATCGAATAATTACGGTTAATTCTCAAAAATAATCTAATGTTATATAAGTCAGAGTTGTAATCGTAATGAGAAAAATGGTGCAGCGTATTTCTTTTACGAAAAAGAACTGAATCAGGTAAATTGATTATTGAAAAAATCATAAATGCAGCCTTCCCCCCAGGTCTTGTGTATATATTTAGGTACTATTCAATATGAACAGTAAATTGATACGTTTCTTTATACAGGGATATATACCTATAGGGATTTATGTTTCTTGACAAAAGTCAATATAAATTAGTTGTTAGAACGAAGATTGCTTTGAGAACGTCGCGGTAGTAAAAAAGAAAGTAGCTGCCAATTAACCTAGCTGCAGTGCGTGGAGTTTTCCCTTTCACTTCGCAATTCTTTTTAGTAAGGTGAGCTGGTGAGGAGATAACGGAAAATGACACTCACTTATGTACATCATATGTTATTCTTGTATAGGTATACGTGGCCTAGAACTTGTTTGAATATGGTGTTCATAGAATTCTTTTACTGCTGTCACTTGCTTTGACCCAAGAAGTGTTTGTTCCCTTTTTGATTTTAGGATGTTGATTGCTTCATCAGGAGTAATATTGTACAACTACAAAAATTGAAAGTGCATACCATTTTGTCTTTACACGTTCATTCTTAGATACACATATATACTGATTTGAGTTTTAAAGCTAGGGGAATAGTTTTTTATATGTATTGTTACCAATGAAATCACAGTGAGGTAATTGCATCATTACAGAAAGGAAATGTTGTGGAAAAGATAATTATGCATAATGGCAAAGACAAATGTGGCACTCAAGATGTTTTTAGTAAAACTTGCATAATTATAGCACTTTCACTTCTTTTTTGAAGCCTTATAGTAAGACAAAACTTAACACACAAATCATCCTCACTAAAATGCCACAAACCTCCATTAAATAACAAGCCACCAAAGTTGCACTTCTTCCCCTTCCAGCTTTGCAGTGCACGTAACAACTGATATTGAGACTATCAAATTGTTTAATAAATTGTACTCCTTCCATCAGTTTTTCAAAGTCTGGTGCATTATTAAAATCTGGTGTTGGCAAGTGCAAATGTTTAATTCCCAGACTTTTCCATTTCTATAGAGGAAGATTTGGACTAACTTGTTGGACACAAATGTAGTATGCTCTAGTAGTGCCAGTTGAGGATTAAGAAAAAATTTTCTGATTAATATATTTTGCTTTTATGAGACAATGTTTGAAGCAGTAAAATTTTTTTTTTATAATCAGTCACCTCATTTGAAAACATAAGTAATCTTGTTTCATATTCTTCATTCAATGTCACAACCCCTCCAATATTTTCTTTATTGATCAGCTATAAAATTAAAAGAAAACTACAATTAAGGTTATAAGGAGTTTGCAAATTTTACATCATTGTTCAAATAAGAAAAATGCAACTTTTCAGTTCATGGGTCATCATTACCCATTGATACCATACTCACACTCTGTGAAATAATACGCAAAGGTAATGCTCCAAGTACAACATTCCTATCAATTCTGTCATACCATCTTCTTTTGCGACTCATTGCCACAGTGAAAATATTCCATAGTAATGTTGGGTAAAATAAAATCCGAGCAGCTTTAGGTGATGTTATACCACTTTGTATTCTAGGCAGCAGAGCTAATTAACAAAATCAAGAAAAAGTATTTTGCAATATTCCTAAGAGGAGTGGGATTAATTGCATGATAGAAGGATTCTTCAAGCAATCAGTAAGTCTCCTTTTTTAATCTTGTAGGTGGCCTAGCTATTTTACTAGAATGGCAATGCTAAATGAATCCATAAGATGGACCCCAAAAATAAAAATGTAGTTGATAAAATGCCAACTCCACAATTCTGAATCATTCAGGGTGTAAAAAAAGCTAGAGTACCTTACTCTCTTATCTGTCAACTATTATCTCGTATCAGGTCTCCTTAGTCTAGTTATAAGTAATGACCCCAATTCTATAAAGCTTTGCAGTGTTTTTAAACCTAACCCCCAACCAGGCCAACCTCCCACCTCTATAATTCTTACTCGATGTAATATATCCACCCATCGTTCATAAAGCGAACTTTCACTCTCTCCAATCAGAATGGAAAATAGCACTCATAAACCGAATTTCCGGCCACTCTCCACTCACGATGGAAAATAATTTTCTGAAAAATCATCAGCCCTTCCACCTCTATGCTTCCCCACGTTTTCACGCTAAGAATATCTTTACATGAAGTTTCATTCACTGGTTTCTGCCAATCGTAAAGTAGTTGGGGAAAAGGAACCCCCCGGAATTGAAGCTGCCTTTCAACGTTTGAAATTTTTGCAATTTGCATCTATATTTATTGACAGAAATCACGGAATGGCAACTTTTTCGCGGACAGAAACTTTTTTGTTTGCCATATACGACATCATGCTACAGCGCCTGACAGCCCTGGCAGTTTGGCTTCCTATGATTTTTTGAAGCTAACCTGCAGTGCTTTCAACCAACCAGCACCTGAGCATTTTTTAGTTGTTTACTAATCTACTATCTCTTGTTTTCTTAGCTGTATGTAGTCGGGCCACCGACCACGAGATATTATCACGGTTGGTGCCAAGCAGAAAAAATTCATTTCAATAACGCATCCGGCATTCAGTCTCGGCTAACTCTAGTAAAATGATATTGAAAAAAAGACTCTCCAAAACAACCGTCAAAGTACAGATAGCCTATGCACAGACCTATATCTTTATCTTTCCGGATTTTGGTTTGTGCACAGGCTACACAGATAGTAGCCCCCTGCACCAATAATCAAATACCACTCCCTATGAAGAGACTCTGAGACTGTGCAGGAGCGATAGTACCAAAGCTTCGCTTTTAGTCCTTTAAGATTCAGAATAAACTTGTAAATCCTGGATTGTGCAAGATTTCGAATAAAGTAAGTCGGGGTTTGCCGATATTCCAGAAACCGTGTTGCAATGACCGAAAGTGAATCCGTGTAGGTGACATCCTTCAGCCTTTTCGTTTGACCCAGGCGTCAAACCTTGCTTATAGATTACGGTCATTTACGGAGAACTGAGCAGTGAAACAAAATTGATTTCTGTGTAGTGGGAGCTTTATATGAGCTATATAAAAATTCCTCAGATAGAATTTTAGTAAAGCTCTGCAGTGTGTGGGAAAGTTGCCAGTGGAAAGTTGCCAAGTACACAGTGCATGACGTCATCCTATGTAGACGTTATTACGTAATGAAAATACCTGCAGTGAAACCATGGAGTGGAGCTGGAGCACTGAGTGGAATGCCTGTGTTATGAGGCTGTTTATAGCACGTTTCCAGTGGTAATTTTTTTCGATATAAGGTCATTTTACATCAATGGAGAAGCCAAATGGTAACGACGTGCCGCTGGTAAGCTTGGTTGAAGCTTTAAATTTGAAATACTCCGACGAAAACTGCGCAGTTGATGATTTTGCACATATTTATGTTTCGTCGAGGGTCAAGGAAAAGACAAAGGGTCAAGGTATATTGCGTTGAATGCGTTCTGATAAATACCCGATTCGAAGTTTGATCAAATTGACGAAAGATTAATGTGCTGTATAGATAATTTAGGGAAATAATCTATGCCGGTTTTTATTTTTTCTTCATATTTCCACGTAAGTGTTTACTTGTCGGACTACGTCAATTATGTAAGTAATGTAACTAGTCATCACGCATAGCGCACCAATAAAAAAAGGCGATATTCCAAGGCAAGTTAGAATAATGAAAACATGGATGAGCTTCTCGTTACTATCCTCATACTCAATGTATAAACACTCGATTTAAAAGTATATATATTATTATTTTATACAGTATATGCACCTTTTTGATATCACACTGGATGCCTCACTCTCATAAATATAAATCATGGTCCAATCTTTTGTATTTATAACTAATGAGATTGAGACTCGAGGCACAAAATCTGTGCCTGAATATTAAAAAAGAGAGTATTAAAAAACACTCCATTGTCAAATAATTTAAGATTTCAGCAGTGCTACTTTCAGCAATGCTATTTTGTCATATATACTTATTGTATGTAATAAGAGATAACTTGCACCTATCAATGCACCACCTGTAAGGTCAATAAGGTGAAACTGGTCAAAATAAAAGTTTATTGTTATATTTAATAAAAGAGCATGAAAAAGTAGATAGTTCTGGAATAGCCCTGAGAATTACATTTTGGATTTTATGAAAAATGATGTGATTAAGATTATTGATTAAGATTCCTATTACATTAGATACTGGTAATCCAGGGGGGTATTATTGTAAACTGCTCATTAGTGGCATGTGCACAAGATAGGATAATCGAAAGTTTCAATTTGTGGCATTAAAGTCTCTACTTCTATGACTGTTTGCATGAGTATTATTAATCATCAATGGATGTGTAATGATAAATATATCACCAACTTCATGCAGTAACTTGTCAACATTTGTTTCCACAATACTTTTATAAAAGTTAAATAAAATAATTGTGGCATTAGAGGCAGAAACGTTTGGCATTCTATGTTTTCCAAATAGTCAATAATTAATTTCATAACATTCCACAAATCACATGTTCAATCAGGTTTCTTTAATCAATTAGGAAGAACTAAATAACTATATTTTTAAAACGTGTATTAAAATGACAAAAGTTACCATTCATTTGAACAACTGTCTACTCTTTTGTACATCCTGTAATTCAGCTGGCAAAAGATATAAGCATGCAATGTGATAAAAGATATAAGCATGCAATGTGATATTATATTCAACCTGCCAATGTGATAGAATTTGTCCAGCCAAAAACCTGAAACGCTGTTGCTTACACCAAAAAACCTTGCCCATGCACATAGTGACTTGATTCTCCTGTCATTGAATTCCTCAGGAAAATCTTGAAAGTTCATCAAATCCTCTTTTTTATTGGTAGAAATACTGGTCTGAGTACAGAACGGTTCAAAATGACAGTCATGGCACACAACCAAATCTGTCACAGTGGTTTGTGTTACCCAGTAAAATGTGTTCCTCCGCGGAAAAAAGCACCCATGTTGCGGAACCGCGGTACAAGCTCCCTATTCTTATTTAACCCCTCGGAAAAAAGCACCCATGTCGAGAAATAATTTCCCTATCCTTACTATTCCCCTACCGGCAACCAGCATTTTATTAAAAATTCTTAGTTTTTTCAAAAAAATACACAGCTCGAGCTGAAGGCGAGAATATCGCATATGTAATTCCCGGCCTGTGAGATAAAGTTTTCGGTAGTCATAAATTAGTTCTTTACACGATAGTACACGATCGTATAAATATAAAAGAAGATAAATACGTAAAAGATACATTTCGATATATCGCAAAAGCGCGCGTGTATTATAACAAGGCAATGGGAATTTGTGCCGGAAATAATTTAGGGCATTTTCTCCGTGACATGGGTGCTTTTTCCGAGAGGTATGGGGCCGCAAATCACTGCATGCGACCATAGCGCGCTACACAACAACATCAATTACTGACGTGCTGTAAAGAAGTCCATAACTGTTTGAATTGTAAACCTATATGAATAGTTAATGTCTTAATAGTTACTCGTGTGATATAGGTTAGTTACTATTGTCATGCTGAGAGAAAATTAGGATTACTGCATGAAGGTGAAAGACGAATAGCACAAACGGAGAAACAAATTTTTGTCTGTCTAAAAATCGCTCTTAAAAAAACATTTGATCAAGACTTAACTCTATAAAGTACAACCAGAACACTGAATTGTAAAAAAAAAACGTTTAGGCGTGTTGGACAACGAGGTGGCAATTAGTATGGTCGGATGTTATAAACTTCCATTCTATTTCCATAACAATATGCTTGACTCGTAGATCAACTGAAAACATATCTAGTAACTTTCTCATCCATTTAAAGTAGTTTTCAACTAAAATAGCTCACAATTCATGAAGTGAAAAAATTCATACAAAATGGCTGACTGACGAACATTTGAAGATTTAGATGTAGAGGATTTTAATGCAAAGTGAATATATATTGTCATTCAGCCATTGTTTTGTAATATAATTGGCAACTCTATTTTTCTGGTATTTCTTTAGCTATGTTCCCTCACGAAAAACGAGAAATTGTTGCGTTAGATTGCTGTGGTATATCAGTCGCTGGAAAGCCTGGTGAAATTGCGAGTGTTTGTCCTCGTGTCACTGATCTTGATCTGACAGACAATCACATCAAAGACTGGAAAGAGGCAATATATTTTTTTCCATGCCACTCTGATATCGCTGTATCGTGCTTAAATGAAAGGAAAACGCCTAATATGAAATTTTAGCTTTGGTAAAGAATATAAACGTTTTTTTTTAGGTTTCGATGATTTTAAACGAGTTAAAATTTCTACATTTTTTGAATCTCTGTGGAAATCATCTGAATGATTCGACTTACTCCCCAAATGGCGTTCATTCCAGTGCATTCCAATCAGGCTGTTTTGCCGCGTTGTCTAAATTGGTTTTAAACAATACAAAGGTCTCTTTGTGTACTGTACAACGGTTCTTAAAATCCCTTCCGAGGTAATGTTATTTTATTATCTGAAATAATAACTTGCATGCATGTATATCACTTTAAATATTGTCAAAAATATGAAATCATTTGTATCCAAGAATCCATCCAAATTAACGTTTGAAATAGATGGAACCTCACAGTTGCAACCCCATGAACATGAATTTACCAGTTAATTTGTGCATTTTTGTGCAGGACATTTTATATCATTCACTGTGCGTTATGAAATATAGCAATTCAATTTTGCGTTTTCTTTCTACAGTCTGATTGAATTACATCTTAGCCTGAACGACTATTCCTCTGTTCCTGAATGCGATAAATGTTGCACAACCGTTAAGAGGTTGCACTTCAATGGTAATAAAATTCAACATTGGAACGAGGTGGAAAAGTTAGGGAAAATGTTTCCATATCTGGAAACACTGATTATAATGGAGAATCCGCTGTCAAATGTAGAAAGAAGTTGCCAAGACGTTAGTTTTCTTGACCTTAAATGTCTTTCGTTAACAAAGACAAAGTTGGATTCTTGGGAACACATTGAAGCATTAAGAAAATTTGAAAATTTGAATCAGGTCAAACTTATGGGCATTCCTTTACTGGCCAAATATGAGCAAGACGAATCACGTAAGTTACTCGTTGCGAGGTTACCAAATATCAAGTGCTTAAATGGCACTCCAGTAACCAGTATTGAGCGCGAGAATGCTGAAAGGCATTTCATTCGTCAACATCAAACCTCTGACCAGCCACCTACTAGATACCACGAGCTTGTTAGCAGGGCTTCCACTTGCAAGGAAATTTCCCTGCAAAAGGAAATTTTGGCTTTTTCAAGGAAAAAGGCAAGGAAATAAAATTGAGGAGGAAATGGACAGGAAATTTTAGCCTGGGCAAGGAAATTGCAAGGAAATCTTGAAAATTGTTTATATTAGACTTAAAATTGAATAAAAAATAATAAGTTTGCAAAGATTTGGTTCTTCAAGTATATAACCATTTTCCTCACTCATAGGTGTAGGGTTTTGTTTTCTTCCGGGAGGGGGGCTTAAAGCTTGGCTAACCAAGGTATAGACTTCATGTAAGCCCAGCTAAAAGTCTCCCTGTATAAAATGAGGAATACAGAAAGTAGTGGCTGCGGATCTAAACTTCGTATTTCAGAATTGCTTTTCTAAGTTGTTTGATATATTATTATATGTTATTATATTCACTAATAAAACTGTTTCATGTGTATATAAGGATGTCTTTTTAAAGATTCAACATTGCTATATGATGCAATTATTACCTAGTAAATTTTTTACCCTAAAATTTCTCGGGGGGTTCTAGCCCTCAGCCCCCCCCCCCCCCAAATACTCTACGCCTATTTTACACTTCTATCAAAGTTTCTGTGGTTAATTTAATAAAAAGTGACCAAATTTTTGGATGAATTTTGGAAGTATTTTTGTATATGGAATATATTTCAGCTGTATCACTTAAAAAAATATTGTTTATTTTGTCACTGAGAAAAATTTGTTCCATTAAGGCCGCTATTTGCAAGGAATTTGCAAGGAAATTTGGAAATTTTGGCAAGGAAATATTTTTGGAAAAAAGGATTTTTTAGCATCTCAAAAGGAAATTTGGTAAATCAATTGTGGAAGCACTGCTTGTTAGTATTCACGGCGAACTTGGTCCCCTCGCGGACGTAAATATGGATCAAACTGGTGAATACGTTGATGTATTAATGCATGTCACCGGTAAACCAGCCTGCCTTCAGACTATATCTCTCTATAAAACAGCCTGGAAATTCAGAAAAGATATGGCAGAAATGTTGCAGGTGCATGTCAGCAAAATCTCACTGTATTATAAAAATAACAGTTTGAACCTAGGTTGTGAGAAAATGATTTATAAAAACAGGACATTGTCTCGTTACGGAATTAAAGATGGCGACGAAATTTTTGTTGATGTCTATGATAACTAAACACATACACTTTGTAAACAATGACTGAATCAAATTAATTTTATGTATATATTAGCGTGCATATATTCCCTCAGTTTAGACAGTTATATCTTGTCATGATTGGTCAGATCTTGGGTATTGTTGATGTATCGTATAGGAGCAGGTTACACGATTGCCTTTCTAAATAAAGGAAATCTTTTATTTTCAAATTATGTTGTATTAATGCATGCATTTAAAAAGTTGTACATCACTGGCGTATCATCCCGCAGAGGAATCGCTTGTCCTGATGCATGGATGTAATGATGTAAAATGCTAGAAGGCCGTAAATGCGAACCTGTGAGATAACTCCACAAGTTCGGATCTACGGGTTGCCAGATTTTACAGTCGCTCTCATGCACGTGTAAAATCCTCACTCAGACCGTCAGAAAAGCAACCTCGTAATCAACCTGACTTCAGTGGAATTGACGGCTGTCATTTTATCATCTCGGTCTTCAATGTAATATCGCCCATCCAAAACCCTTTTCTTGATTTTTTTCTTTTCACCGAGGAACACGTTGAAAAAAATGATTTGCAACAAAGCTAATCTGCTTCATCTTTATACTGACTCGCCCGGTTTTCTGTGAAATTGGTTTGAACTTGCCTTCTTATTTTCTGTAGCAATTTGGCGCTTTGTCATTCAGCAACTCAGTACTTCATTCTTAGGAAAGTACATTCAGTATTTACAAACGTAAAAAGGGCACTTTTTGTCCCTTGAAAAATTTTGGGGGGCACGTGCCCCTTGCATGTGAGCCCCCCCACCTAGGTTCCTATGCCCCTGCTTTTTAACAACCACATGCTTGAAAATTGTTTCTCATTAGTCATAATGAGAAAGAAACGATGGAATTACTCAATCTATCAATTATAATTTCGGAATTGTGGTCATGCAATAATGGTCCAGACAGTCGGAAGGTATATCATCGCGCTTATATTAATATGTCATCCACAAAGAGTTCCTGTCAACATTTCATCGCGAATGCATGCAAGCGATCAGGCACATGCTTCCCGTCTGTTGTCGTTGTCCTAAAGTCACTAATGATGAATACATCACCAACTTCATGCAGTAACTGGTCAACATTTGTTTCCACAGTACTTTTATAAAAGTTGAATATAAAAAAAATTAAATTGTAGACAGAACGTACGATCTACGCGTGAAGCAACAGCGAACGTACGACTTTTATTTAACGCGTAGCTAGCGGCCAGAGCAACGGCATCGCAAAGGCTCAGGCTCAATTCCAATTGACCTATAATAATAGTTGACGGATCTTTCTAAATTGTTCTTGGCTGCATTTAAATGTGAATGATTTCCATTCAAAATAAGACTAGCCCTCTGAATGAGTGTATATCACTATCAGTTCAATACCAATAGAGTATTGCACATGAAAGTTAAATTTATCATTCAGTCAACCACTCCGTTATTTTCACTTGCACTAACATGCATGGAAATGAATTCTTGAATGTCATCGCCAATAACAAAAATCAATTTACCGATCAGCATTTTAGAAGCTAGGTTATAACTTTCCTATATACATCTTGTTTTATTATTGCAAATAACTAATTTATCTTAAATCGATTTTATTATTGCATAACCATCATTGTGGTGATTTAAAGCGATGAAATCGCACCAAAGATATACCTTTGGCTTTGGTCTGATACTATAAGTAATCATTTAAATATTATTCATTGGTATTCGTATGCCATAAAACTCCTGCTCACAAAATGAGAAATGATAATCACAGTTTCGAGAGATAACTGGATTACCCAAATACTTTTTGCATGCAAGCAAACAGACTTTTTCTAAACTTTATATAGACTAAGATTCATAGATTCAAAATTTGAATGGTCATGGTAATTTTGTACTATCTATTCTATCTGAGAACGTATAAGCGAATTCCTATACAAACCGGCTATATACTGACCCAATCGATTGAAGAAAAACGGTAGTTCATTGATGGGCGAGATAAATGTAATAAATAAAATTGAAAAGAACGATTTTGGAATCTTAACATATCTTTTCCATCGTAATTCACCGCATCTCACGATGGAAAAGATATTTGGGCTAATTTAGAGGACTATGATAGGTTTGGGTTGATGTATACCATTGATATCAATCTCATATCTGAAAAGAATGGGCTAAAATGTATTCTCTTACCTTCTATTAACCCTATAGATTGCAGTTCTTGTATATGAATTGCTGTTTGCATTGAAAACAATGGTGTCAGCGATGATTAAAAATGCTGTCAATATACTAAGCAATAAAATTACTCAAAAAGCAACCAGAGTCCTATTGAAATCCATGACATGACGCTATGTAAATGATTGAGAATTATGATTTTAAGGCCTTTTTATTTTTTACCTGCCGATAAAATGACTCAACACAATAACATCGTGTGCAATTCAGCGACCATATTCAAACCGGCTTGTGTCTGGGCTGTTGTTTGCAAAGAAAACATATGTCAGCATTAAATTCAGTTTCAACATACACCCGGTCCCATTGCGCCATAGCCAGTTGTTTCGCCAAGCCGGAAATTCATTTACAATGTAACGTCTCGAAGTAGGAAACGACATTTAGTTTTGGATGAAATTCTTCGTGCTATTCAATGGTCGGCCGTAGATGACTGTGAACGTACAAACACCTCTGCAGACATAAATGAAAGCTCTCGATAAATTGTTGAGGTTAGCCATCTATGTTGCTTGCGTGGGTGGGTCAAATCATGTGTCGTCTGGGTATGCAAATTTTTGTCGACAGAAGCAATTAATTAGTCTCCTTACTTTGTCTCGTTCTTCAGATGCTTGAGCCTGCATGCAGTGCGTTGATAACGTAGTTTAGTATAGGTAGCCGACTATATTCGAGTTTTTTGTATCTAATAGCCCAGTAGAGGGGTAGAGGACATGCTTCCTTTTGAAATTTGCAATCGCTCTTTAATTTTTGGGGTGACTGTGTTTGTTGCAAGCAGGGTGAAGAGGTCCCCTTGCCCCCGTACCGGCTCTTAGTCTTTGATGATATGCACCATAACTAATATAAAATACATACCTTTAGATATATCGGCCTGCCGCACAGTCATAGACGAGGGCTCTTGGGTGAAGCAGCCTGAAGCTGGCTGCATGGTCAAACAGGCGGCCGCCTCGCGAGGACCGAGATTGGACATTCAGTGGTTTTGATTTTACACAGGAATGTTAAACATTGTCATACACTTACCGAAATAAGGAGCGTTGTGCGCTGTTGTGGTACTGAAAAATCATTGGACTATGTCTGTGTAACCAAGTATCAGCACATCACGACAAAACGATTTGTAATAAGCTATAATAAATAGTGCGAAAATTATTGTTGTTTTGTGACTTTTTAGTGATGTAAACATTCACAAATATCGTTTTTTACTGAATGACTTAAAACTACAGACAGTTATGACACATGGTTGCTAATCGGAGTAATGACCCAAATATTCTTTCCTATATATATATCGGCTTTTATCCGGTCTTAGTACAGTCAGAGAGTATTTGCTGTGCAATTGACTAAAATACAAAGCAGTAATAAGCAGTACTGTACCTAATTTGGTATCGATTTTTTACCAATTCCAAGAAATTCTTTCATTTTCAGATATCACTCGGATTCACCCTTTACAATGTGATTTTCTGGTTACTCTCTTGACTGAATACGTTGATAATTGATTGACAATGTTAATTTTCCATTTAACAGATTTGGGGAAAGTCAGGGCGAGGGCTCTCAAACGAGTACACGTCAGTTTTTGTTCTATAAGAACACTCTAAATAATATTATTTCCATCATGATAAACTGTTTGCGCATTATATGAATGCAACAACCTTGCTTGCAGAAGCAGAGCGACGACAATGTAAACATTATTGAGATAAAGAACAGTTCAAATTTTCCCCAAACGTCGTTACGCGTTGTTTTTGCTATCAACAAAATTGTGTACGCTAAATCTAAATCATATATAAATGCATAGCCTGATTTGCCTCACGCACGCAAGAGGTTCAGACATCATTATTTAATTATAGATGGCGTAGGTGTCTACATGTGGTTTGGAAAGGACAACTTTTATTTGTATAGATATGTGTATATATATGCTTTGCCCATCACTATAGCAATGAACATATATGAATCAGTCAGTCATCATCTATTCCCTTAGACCCTAAACATGCATGACACATATATCGACGAAATTTAATTATTCGAAATGATTCAGAATAGACCATGAGTATGTTTAGAAAATTGGGTGTAACAAAATATTTTTATGTGTTCGCGCATGCTATATCTAAAATAAATAAAATGTCTGCCAAATCCAAATGTGCAAGTAAAAAATTGATGTATTTGAGATGTGTTATATATAAGAAACATCTGCAGTCAAATTTGATTCTTTATGTTTTTTGTTTGGTTCGATATTTGGAGTCACCGCTATGTACGTAGAGGGGAATTAGACTTGATATTTTATCGAGTAAACTCATCGACATCGCGGATGGTAGTTGATTACATCTTATATAGATGAATGGCTGATTCAGCATTGTTGAGAGACCTGATCAGATGAAATATCCATCACTATAAAATTTTAGAAAATGAATAATCCAATAAATTATGTTCTAAAACTGCATGCAAGTTCATGCAAGTCGGCTCAATTTATTTCCCGATTGAATATTAGTGTGGAATCACTGATAGTGATTCTGTCATACCACGGCTGTACTCATATTTGAAAAAACAGACAGATCTATCTGGTATAATACTGTGAGTCTCTGTGACAGTATAGCGGCCTGGGCACAGAAAGTGTCTTTGACTTTCATAAGGATCTAAGTTAGTCTCTGACCCTCTGTGTTAAGCCTGTTCTACATCAGTCGGGGTAATATTTATATGAGTACTTGCTGTGTGCTTCGTTATTTCACTGATGTAAGTTGATTTCCTCTTGGAAAATTTTCTTGCCTTATCTTGGAGAGCTCCGGTTTCATTATAATGTTAACCGTCACAGGAACAAACATTTGTCTATAGTCACGGAAATTGCCTAGCCCTATTGTGAACACTTTCCAATGACGCAAAATCGAATGAAAAAGAAGCATGCAATATCAAGCATGCACTTATGCAAGTCTGCCAGTCTATATAGTGTATAGACATGTAGAATATATAATAGCGGACATATATACTTTGAGGTGTACGTCATTGCCATGCATTTTTTACATGCATCATCGATATTGCCTGCATTGTACGCAATGTTTTCACTCAAATAATTCTTCTTATGTTCAGATAATTTTTTATTGTATAAAATAAGCTCTGGGGATTGATATAAAGTCAGTACCACGACATATAATCAGTGGTTCTGAACAGAGAAAACGTACATCTAGATGATGCATGCCCGAAATGTAACCTTCTAAGCTACTATATATATAGTTATGAAATTCACTCTTGGTATATCACAGATTTTAAGATTTACATGAGCTATGATTCAATGAGTTTGATCGTGACTTCCTGCAAGAGCAAATACGTGGCGGTGACGGTGTGCCTATAGGCGTGGGAACGTGATTTGTAAATTCACCCATGATCACGAACTTGCTGTTCCAAATATCGTAGAAGTAAACATACAGTGATAGTAATCTGATGCACGAATGTAACTTTTCCTGCTTGCAAAATAGGGTTGTAATGATTGGATGTGTAAAACCTTCACCCTGGAACTTTGTATCTTACATTTTGAAATACCATAGAAATTTTACACAAAGGCTGTTTGAGCATCAAGTCTACAGAAGAGTTAGATACTGATTATTATAATTAAGATGAACTGGACTTACGATGCGCAGTCACTGCAAAGGTCGCCAGACTGATATATTTACACAAAATTGGCCTTGGTATTTTCGACGATTTTAACTGCTTGTGGATACCAAAATATCATGGAGGCTGCATACTAGATAAAATTTGTCATTTGTGAACACTCCGTGGATCTTTGCTGGGGATGTTTAACAGTTCCCATGCAGTCCACAGTTTCCCGTGTTATGAATAAAAACTAGACACAAAGACCTAGATTACCCGCTGTCTTTGAGTGGACCTATTGTGACAGACGCGTCAATCCGATATAATCATGCCTTGACGTTTTTCATTTCGTTCTAAAAAGCATTCTTTTTACTTTTAGATTATACTTTGCAGCCACGCACCAGCCTTAATGCATTAGACACATTTGCATAAAGTAATTCATTGTAAAGAAAATTTTTTACTGGTTTTGAATGACTAATTCGGTCTGGAAAAAGCCGAACAGTCAGTCTTAATATATATCATTGAAATATCAGACAAAACACAGATTAAATCAGTGATTGCATCACTTGCATATTATATTAAGAGCCAAGACCCTTTCAGTGCCGACCCAGACTAGCGTTCAATATTAAGCGCATAAACAAGTATACATTTTTCATTCCCTTTTTTTTCAAGCTGAAATAGAGTAAAGGTCTAAGAATATAAATATCGCAACAACTATATATGGGGAACGCCTGTGTAATTAAATCAGAATAGATTACGGAGATTACCCTGCAATTTCTGCTTGCCGAAGTAGCGAATGTGCAGGAGGTCTAGCATTTGTGTAGATTCAAACTACATCTAGTCTTTACTTACTGTTTACATACTGTTACTGTAGTCTGCATTGGGATATCATAACTCGACGCGAAATCGGAACCATCAATGGGTTCCATATATATGGCACTGCTCAGCGAACGTTTGTGTTTAATCAGTTGCAGACGTAATTTGCATCATGTCGCGACATCTATATACATACATATTATATTTTAATACCTTTGTGGCGGCCAGCTTTCTTAATATCCTAATGTCTGCATCGCTCGTTTATCATTACAACCGCCGTGGAGGGCAAGTTATGCAACAGTGTAGCCGACTGTACAATGCCTTACTTAATCTTTCGAACAGTTAATTGATTCTATGTGTAGGAACCCGAATTATTCGTTTCAGCTGTTTCCATGAGTTGCCTGACATCATTATCCTTGATTGTAACCTTGATGTCAAATGTCGGACTGTTATATTCTCCTTTTAGTTCAATTTCAATTAGAATTTCCGTGAAACATGTTTTCCAGGGGGCCGTTGACTCGAAAGGTATATATTGATAACGCTTTTCGTTGTCAGAACCATGTCCAGCCGACAATTTAAAAAGCTATAAAAAGAACTGAGCACGCCATTACGCTGGAACGATGCAAAGGCAACGGGGCGGGGGGCGGGAAGAAGTAAGATCTCGTTTAAGTAAACATCTGTATCGACGTCTCGAGAATTGTAAAACATTGCCTATAGTTGAATTTCGTCGCATCGCATGTTTTCTCTTAATCCGTTTGACGATTTCCGTGCACCGATGATCGCATCAAAAATCATCAAACATGGTTTGTGACAAGAGACAGCGAGACGTTCTTTCACCGAAAGGAAGTCAAGAAAGGTCAAAGCAGAAGTTTCACGAACCGTTCTTTCCGTCCGTTCTAGGAGATTCAAAAGATAAAAAGAAAGGCCACCATGTTGAAAGACAAACAAAGAAAAACCTTTGTACTGCTACAATGATTATGGCGACGATGACCTCTGATTAATTTGCATTTAAAAAATGTTTGCCGTTTGGAGTTACCTTAAGAAATTTCCAGATTCAACACATTTGGATCTAGATACCTTAAGAAATTTCCAGATTCAACACACCGTCTGGCCGAATGCGACTAGTAGCTACTTCACTTTCTTTCGCTTTAGTTGGTGTTGGTCCTCAACTGGTCTAGTACTTTCTTTCGCATTACATGCATCAACGTATAGGGATTGCTTTGTAATTAACGGCTGGAAACCAAAATATTGCATCGTGTAAAATCGCCTACTAGGGTTAGTGCATTTCAATGCAGTACTACATTCTTTATTAGATAAGTGTTGAAATTTATTCCACAGTATACTGGGGAAAATGGTGAAAATTTTTCAGCAGGCATTGGAAAGACAAAAGTTCCTGATACACAAACCATCAGTCAACTTATCAATCAACCTTAGAATGGCCTATATAGGATTCGTTAATTTCCTTTCATATAGTTTTTTCAGCAAAAGACTTGCAACGCACGCACGCGCCGACGTTATCTAGTCTATAGCAACTAAATTTCACCCAACGCAGACTACGTGAAGGAAAGCTATACCGTTGTTCTAATCTCCTACAATACTAACCATGACAAACCAAATGTCCTTCCTGGCTTCCTTCCTTCTCCCGTAGCTCAATGTTGTATTTTCAACCATTACTGAAAAAATTTCTTAGAAACCATTGTTGTTACAAACATAAATTCTTGGTAAATGATATTATAGTGCATTTTGTGTACGCCAATCCTTCTACCTTATATATGGTACTAATAGAGTAAAGGAGATAGATTGTGCTAAATGACCGAAAAGTATATACTGCAATTTTGCCGGGTTAAGCGCTTACATGCACCTTACCCTGAATGTTCACATGTGAATTGTGAATATAGCTCAGTAATATTCTAACTATATATGTAGTATGAACAGAAAGCCTTACCTAAATGGGGTAGAAAAACACGTACGATCATATTTTAGATATTTTTTATTTCAAGACTTAGCTATAGACAAACTTTTGTCAAACTTGAACAAGCGTTGTTGGTTTAAGAACCAAAGCTTTTTCCACTATATATTTGAACGTTTTCCAACCTGCAAAAACGGTTCGCACTGCAGAACGTTCGTGGGACGGAATAAACGTCAGATGCTATGGCAATGAAAGATTCTTTTAGATGATCTTGCACTTTAGGAGCACTGACTTTCCCAGCATAATAGTATGAGTTTTCCTTCATTGTGTTAAAGCCTTCCATTGCTGCAAAGTGCAAAATAAAAAAAATCTGGTCACCACACAACGCTCAATTGCATGACATGCAATCTAAGATGAAAACGAAATTACTAATATTCATGTTTAGGCTATACCTGTAGAAAGGCCGAGCATGAATCATTTAAATTGTTTCCAATTCGGCCGGGTATAACAATTTTAGATGATGATTTATAAATATCTGTAGTACATGTATGAATTGATTGAATTCTACTTCTTTATTGTTCGTTGTATAACTGAAAACATCGGAAGCTGAGACGGTTCTGGATAACGCAGAATTGCGAATGTTTAGAAGTAAACCGCATTGTAATGGAGAGAATACTACCAGAGAATATACACGCTTTTATATGTATAATCAAGTGCATGGCTATGTAATGGTATCCATATATTGGGAAAAATATGGTATCCTCAGATTATTATACATGCAGTATGAAAATAATATACATGCAGTTATCCGGCGGGAATAATCGTAAAATTTCTATACTATATATGATATGTATGGATCTTCAAAATGTTTTTAACGTTCATTACTTAACGTGAAGAAATTACAAGAGAACGAGGCATATATAAACATGTCTTACCACACCTTGCCCAAGCGATTTTTAAAGCCGGTTCTGAATCCGCGCTGCAATTAAGCTAGCAGTTGTCGACTGATGTAATTTTACCTGCACAGTCCGGCCAGTGTGGGTCCAGCCGAGGAAATGGCGGCCACGCGTTCCAATTTCCTCCGGAACAGTAATAAAGATTAGCTGGACGATAGCCAAAATCGAAACCCTCTCGACAAAAGGCTATACAAAGTCCTGGTGAACCGTTGAAATTCAGACAAGCAAGAGCACCGTTGCGGGGTGGTGCGTTTTGAGAACAGCCTTTTGCTGAAACAAAAGAATAAATAAAGTAGCAAGTTAAAGGTGTCGTTGCAAAGGTGTCGCTGCATATTTTCTTACAAACTTGACCTGGCCTGCACCAGGCCTAGGCCTAGATGTGAACGTTGTTCATCCCGCCTAGATAAGGCCTGAACCTGGTCTAGGCCACAAAATCCAGGCCGACAGTAAAGGTGGCCTGGTTCTGACATGGAGCACGATTTTGGTAATGTGAACGGGCTTTAGTGCTTTACCTAGTTGACCTGAATAGTATGCTTTGTATATATGATCCATACTAGTTTGACCACTTTTCAGCGTGTTTTGGGTCTTGTTCCAAGTATATTTTGTCAATTATTTTGGCTATCCGATATCATCAACAAGTAAGACAGTGCATGTGAGCATGGTTCAGGCCAGATCTAGGCCTCTAGATAAACCCGCCTAATGGCAGTGTAGACAACCTGACCAGTGGCCAATTAAAAAAAAGGTTAAATAAAAAATACCAACGTGCAAGTCCAGGTAATCATACGCGATGACGATCGAGAGATGCATGAAAAATTTCAAATATGTAATATCAATCGCACTCATCTTAGCTTCTCTTGCATCTATATTAGTGAAGCAACTGTATTCGAATACATTTTTATCGCGTTAGTAATTTACGATGAAATACAACTAACGTCTCCCAAGTCATTTCAAGAAGTGTAAAGAAATATAATTTATTGCTGCAGAAAAATTGAGGCGTGGTTAACCTTTTCACCGTCTATTGCTATATACATACCGGCGATGAAAACTTATAAGTAGCGACTAGCGAATTCGAAACAGTAAAAATTTTGATAAGTAAAATAAGATAAAAACAAAAGTTCTTAAATTTATGCTATAAATTTTCACCTGGCATAAAGTAATAACATTTGCATCAGTTGTTGAGCTCATAGATTGTAATTTTTGGGGGAGAAACTGCTCCTAAATAATTTGCACCCACCCTGAAGAAATTTGTACCCGCCCTTAGTCAAAAAGCGAATGGTCAAAAATAAGGTCATTCAAAAAAATGCAATACTTTAAAATTAGTCGAAATTCTAATCAGTAGCTGCAAGGCTCTTTTATTGCATCTAAGATATAATGAGGTGATATATTTTTGATGTGATTGAATGAGGTGATTAAATAAAATCAACACAGCTGTACGAGATATTGTCCGGGAACTGTAAAATAGCTGCCGGATTGATGAGCTGACATCATCACAGGAGAATTTTCCGACTTATTGACAAAATATAAGGTTCTTGCCAGTTAACCCATGCATGCATGCACACTTGTTACTGTTGCCCGATTCGATCTTTATATATCACCATCATCGAGTGATATGGGGAGGTTCCGTATCTATAAATTATATACCAACTATATATACATGCTATTTCACTATATGTAAGCATTGTAACAAAATGATTATTTCTTTTACCGTGGGGAAAAAGTATGTTTACCGAGAAAGAGGCCGAGGCGAGGTATTTACTTTATCATGCATGCAGTAACCATAATTTACACCTTTCTATCATCGAACTAGGTGTATGAGAACCTTGATTTGAGTATAGCGTGGAGTTATCGCGCTTTTTTCCCATTTCCTAAATTAAGCTCAAAGAAATCAGAATTAAAGAAACGAAATTATATAGCTTTACCTCCACATGCACCAAGTCCAAGAAAAGCGGACAGTACCACCAAATACATTAATGCCATTTTCTATCTTGATTGCAAGCCCTATAATTTGACAATGTCTTAATTATTTTTTCATTTCACAATAAAATCCTGACTAAAAAGTCTCGGTCCGGTCGCAATTTCTGGTGCGGATTGAATTTAATAGGCATGTTTAAAGGCACGGCTATTGTGACAGCCATGCACAGGAGTACGTACCTTATAGAAATGTTTCCATGCAGCGTTCTGTGAAGATACGGATGCTTTGAGATAGTAATGAATACTGACTTAAATGAGATGTTTTCTTCCAGATCTCGGCACCACAGTCAAATGAGGGGAGACAGTGCATGTCTGCTTTAAAAAGTATTTATCCATGCTATCATGTCAGTATAATGCGGCTGTGTTTATTTGCATGATGAATTATTTGTAAGAAATATATTGTAGATAAATCAAAACCAATAAAAATGTATAAAATGTTGAACCAATCTGTCTGATACAAAAACTAATTTGTTTCTATAATAGCGGCAAATTCCTTTTAATCATTATTTCTCGTTCAAAAATGCACCAAATACTGCATAGAATAAGAAATATCCCAGAGCTCGTCTCGGTCTTTGAAATGATGATTGCATGAGGCAAACTATGTATAGTTCAACAGAGATAGAAAATTGCATTATTTGCTGATAGCTTTGTCCGTTTTTCTTGGGCCTGGTGCACATATATGAGCAGGTATAACCCTTTTCAGTTTAGACATGCAAGCTTGGTTAAAAAGCATTGCACACACGTAGGTATTCTCTTCGTTAAGATAAACAGGATGCTGATCAATGAATATTTGTTAAGCCTGAAAACTGAGATAGGTAAATAGTAATTTGTTTGTAATTCCGAACTGTACTTTTTGTTTACTGAGGATTCAGCGATGATATCTACATATATCATACACGAATATATCAAAAGGTTCACTTTTAAAAAATATCATTTTTCAACTGTACTAGTAATTTTTTTCGACGTTTAGGAAAGCCCGCGGGCAATACATGGTGGCATAACCATGCACGTCTCAAATCTATAGGCGAAGAATTTCAAATGATCGATGACTGATAATCTCCTGTGACTTATGCATTATTATACATTCATATATATGCATGGCTGCAATACAAAAATTTGTGTCCTCCGCTAAGTCGCAAAGCCTAATTAGCCTGTAAACGCAAAGAGAAAGATCTTAGGCTTATAGTATTGCATGCAGCCATTAGTTGCGTTTTTACTCGAGAGAAGTTATAACCAATGACTCTCAGTGTGGCATGGACTTTCAATGGACTTTCAAAAGCTGTATACATATACCATGAGTAGCAAACATACTAAAAAGTAACGAGTGAATAATTATGCTTCTCATTAAACTCCGAAAATTGGCGATACATTGTTGATGGGCGGTGATGAAGAAATAACAAAGCACTTTGTTTTCCAGTGATCACCAACAATAGCCATCGCCGACTGCCGATTACTTAATGAAAATCAGGCTTTTCCTTACTTTTACATTTTCGAATAGCTATATGCGATTAAAATAAGAAGAGACCTTTGACATTTAAAGCTACATATTTTGCTCTTGGCGTCGACCAGGGCCAATAGGGGATGCGATCAGGGCCGTAGCTAGAACGATAATTGGGGGGGGGGGGTGTTTATTCATATATTCAGTTCTGCCCGACGGATTTCCATTGTGAGCAAAAGAAATTCGTCGGGCAGAACTGAATATACGAATAAACACCCTCCCCAATTATCGTTCTAGTTACGGCCCTGGATGCGATTTTCGCAAAAGGGCACTTCTGTAAGGACGCATGGTTGTACTTTTTTACTTGAGATATAGAATGTAATCCCTTAAAATGAGAGCGCATCTTTGACCTATACCTTGTCTCTCATCGTAAAGGGCAAACGTGCAGCATCCCTTGCTTCCCTTCCTGCCCCCTGTTGCGGCGTTCCTGGCGTCGACAGAACGGATTGATCAAAATGACGAATCTGGTTGCCTACAGACTCCAAATTGAACTCTACTATATATATATCTAAACAAATTCAGCCACAGTGTGTCAGTGCCCATGTACGAATGCATCGAAAATTATATAGACAATTTGACTGTACTGGACATTCTGCATGACTGTAGTTGATCATTTATCAGAAAACATTTTCAAGAACAATGATTGATTTGTCATTCAGCAATTACAATTATGTTTGTCAATAAATAGTTAGAAATGTCACTTTTACGACATATTAATAATTTTGGTAGCCATTTAACCCCATTCAGACCTTCTTATCTTATAGTTGGCCTGAAATGCAAATAATTTAAAGCAACCAATTGCCACGCCAAAGAATTTTTTCTCATCATTCTTTCAACCAGTAACTACGAGACACCCCAACTGGCGCAGAAATACCAAAAATAGTAACTGAGTTTTGGCATGCACGCCCTTTCGACCTCTACATATTCAATGTACAGTCTGCAGAGGTATTTTTAGTTCATTGACGGATTCTGGGAATATTTTGTGGTATTTAGATTCAGGCAATCTTGACTTTCAATTAACCATACAATTTACCGTTAAAAACTGTGCATATCATATTCTGCAATCTGCATGTCATTCGAAGAAATGTTTGGTTGTATCTGTAACGCTTTAATGGTATAAATACGACGTTCAACGGTGATAATGTTAAAAGAAGTCACACAAGCCTAAATCAAAGCACACGAACAACCCATATCAGGAGTTTAAATCAGCTACATGCATACTTTGTTACTCGGGTACTACTAATACCTGCCAGTCGGTAGCATGTTGCGATGACAGACAAATGTAGAGTATATTTCAACCCTTAGCCATATCTGTCAAAAGCAACTGTAAAGGCATGAGGTGATGTCAAAAGTTTACAGGCTTGAACATTAGAATGCAACATCTAGAAATTGACATTCTAATCCAAGGTTATTTTAAAAGCACTGCAGAAAATCGTCGGGGTTGGTTGTGTCGGGGTTTAAGGGTTCGATTTTAACCATTCGGTCAGCAAAAGCGTTTTTGTACCTTTTTATAAATTCACTAAATATTGCTGGTCGCAATTAGCTGCATAATTGTCACGGTGCGTTGCTCAAAAAAGGGTCTTTAGATCAGTCATCATTTATAAGAATATTACGTAATTTTTTCATCAGGCCTCGGTTCAAACATTACAATTCCCCCCAGTTTCGTTTCATAAATTTTTCTATAAATATTATTGGAGTTCTCTAGATATGCATTCCACATTTTCACATGCAAATAACATTTACACATTAATATCTATGTTTAATGTTTTCATCTTGGTTTTGTTTCAGGTTTGCATTAAATGCAATATCTAATTCTTAGAGTTTAAAATGATTTTTACTGCAATACAGTTCATGATAAGTAGTGACGTGTATCATCACGTATAGCGGATTGATATCATCTTACGGTCAAACAGAAACGGCTAAACTCTTATGTAACATGCGCACTGACGACGCATGAATAGAATACGACTGATTGGGTAGACACAAATACACAAAAGGCTAAAAGCAATAAACATTGGTCATACTTCGGTAGAATAAACTCAATAAAGACTGGTTCAGTGAATTGGTAAGCTTATATTAGTTATATATATAATTAAATGTAAATTATCTTTCGATTTTATATAACAACTATGTAGTATGGCCCAAACATTCGGCATAAAAACAATACGAATACTGGGCAAAGGTTTAATAGCTGTTTCGGCACTAAATGCTCAATCTATTCGTCACGTATTCTTATTACCCAAAACATCGCGTGATTAATATATTAAAAAGAGACTATATATACAATTTACAAACATTAATGGTTTAATCGGAAGTCGAATGATTTTCGATGCGTCGCCATGAGTAAAGTCATAGGCATAGTATATTCATCTAGGATGGTGAGGTCATCTAGTAAACTAGTAAGGAATTCAGTCGAACATCTAACCCAAACTAATTTTCTTTTTATGCTGCGCAGGAGATCACGTGCACTATTTATGTCACGATCATCACGACGTTTATAGGACGTTACAGGCAATATCGTTTCATACATATGGCAAACTCCGCTTCTCTCTTTCCACGAGTCAAACTATAGTCAAAACGACAGTGCTATCCGAGCTTGTATTAAATAAACAAGGTACATTATTACTCTTTCGCTGCGTGCATTTTCCTAGCCCAAAATGCCTTGCAGACTCCCACTTAGTACCCATGCAGAGTTATTTCGCTGTGGTGCTACAGTAGGGGTTAGGCTATGGTACGGGGGTTACCTATAGCAGGGGTTAGACTCGTGGAGCGTTGGTAAAAACCCTTGGTATACGAGGTTGTGCAGACTCATCGCGTGTAGTGCGGGATATTTCCATTAAACATTTCTACTTTCTGCGTGTAGTATTTCTTACTTTGCTACCACCATCTTGCTTTGCTACCACCATCTTGCTTTGGTACCACCATCTTGTTTTACTACAGCAATCTTGCTTTGCCACCACCATCTTGCTTTGCTACAGCAATCTTGTCTTACTACAGCAATCTTGCTTTGCCACCACCATCTTGCTTTGCTATCACCATCTTGCTTTGCTACAGCAATCTTGTTTTACTACAGCAATCTTGCTTTGCCACCACCATCTTGCTTTGCTACCACCATCTTGCTTTGCAACAGCAATCTTGCTTTGCTACCACCATCTTGCTTTGCAACAGCAATCTTGCTTAATTGCTACCACCATCTTGCTTTGCTACAGCAATCTTGTTTTACTACAGCAATCTTGCTTTGCTACCACCATCTTGCTTTGCTACAGCAATCTTGCTTTGCTACCACCATCTTGCTTTGCAACAGCAATCTTGCTTTGCTACCACCATCTTGCTTTGCTACAGCAATCTTGTTTTACTACAGCAATCTTGTTTCACTACCACTATCTTGCTTTGCTACAGCAATCTTGTTTTACTACAGCAATCTTGCTTTGCTACCACCATCTTGCTTTGCTACAGCAATCTTGTTTTACTACAGCAATCTTGCTTTGCTACCACCATCTTGCTTTGCTACAGCAATCTTGTTTTACTACAGCAATCTTGTTTCACTACCACTATCTTGCTTTGCTACAGCAATCTTGTTTTACTACAGCAATCTTGCTTTGCTACCACCATCTTGCTTTGCTAGCTACAGCAATCTTGTTTTACTACAGCAATCTTGCTTTGCTACCACCATCTTTCTTTGCTAGCTACAGCAATCTTGTTTTACTACAGCAATCTTGCTTTGCCACCACCATCTTGCTTTGCTACAGCAATCTTGCTTTGCCACCACCATCTTGCTTTGCTACAGCAATCTTGCTTTGCCACCACCATCTTGCTTTGCTACAGCAATCTTGTTTTACTACAGCAATCTTGCTTTGCCACCACCATCTGCTACAGCAATCCTGCTTTGCCACCACCATCTTGCTTTGCTACAGCAATCTTGTCTTACTACAGCAATCTTGCTTTGCCACCACCATCTTGCCTTGCTATAGTCTGCATGGCAGGCGGTCCTTGCATGTCTTATTACACCTCATCATGTGACGTCACATAAGTGATATTTATTTGCAGTAAAAAAAGATGAATATGTACCTCAAAAGGGTACAAAAATGCTGCGAAAGGGGTATTAAAATATTGACAAAACAAAAATAACACGAATAATCTCTATTAATCGACAAACGTCAACGAAAATGCCCCGTTGACGAGGTTGCCGACTACCTTATTGTCGGTATCTGTCACGAAGTATTAGGGGTTTTCTACATAAATAACAGCGTAGTTTCACCTGTGTACGATACCTGTACCCGTACACCGGAACCGGGGTATCTCAACCTCTAACGAAAAGATCGCTCCTAAATAGCTTCGTGGTAGACGCTGAACAAGACGTCAACACTCTAAACTTCTCCTAACCTATTCTTGGTATGGATCAACTGACGTTCCAAAATTAGTACATTCTTTCAGTTCAGCTGGTATTGGTATTTGAGATATTCAGAATGTGAGTCAATTGCCAATAGGCTTATAGGAGGATTCACGTATATAATGAGATGTTGTTGGTCGGCTTTAGGATCAAGTTTAACCTAGAAAAAAATATTGTTTCAACCTTCTTCTAAATAACGCGGAATCTAGAATTATCCACAGTAGTGGAGCTCCACTACAAGTGTGGATTCATGCAGTTCAATGAGTATAGAAAAGATAGAATGAGTTGATAACCAGGCGATATCATTCTGAACATGCAAACATTGCTCTTTAAAGGTGTTATCATAGACAATGAGCTGCATATATATAGGTGCAAATGGATTTCGTATTGAGTTGAATTGATTCTATAGGGAATGTCAACAAGATAACGTTCATATATATATATAGGCCTATAGATCTGCCCTTTAAATGTAAGCAAAGAATTCTAAATTTGCAGCACTTTGGAAAGTGTTCCATGTGCATAATTTGTTCTTGGAGTCTTTATGTCTGCAACTCAAGTGCTGTTGTTAATCAAAGGCAGTTTACTGTCAATTTAATGGGATCAGTATCTCTAAACGTGAACAGAATTCTACGAAACCACATGCAACAGCTGTGGATAAATGCATATCTAGCCAAAAATATTGGCTATGCTAAATATTAATTACACATGTTTCGTGATAATAAAAGCGGACACATTAAGTTATTACTTTGACAGGCAAACCATACACACACGCTTTATATCAAGCAGCTAAATCCTCTTACCGAATGACAAGAACATAAACGAGGTGTTGTGCTGTTATATGTTTTTCTGTTTGCAACATATGCATCATGTAAAAATGACAATTTTGTAATAAAATTAAATAATTGACATGAAGAAATAAAATTACGACAACAAGTCAACAACTGAAAAATGTGGTATAGCTATCTCAAAGTGAATGGCAGTCAGTGTCAGGGCATTCGATCGCAGAAGAGCTATAGCGTGATCGTTGTTTAACTTCGAGGAAGTAGCCTTTAAAATTTTCAACTGATATAAACAGCTGATCACACAATTTTTTGCGTATTAACTTTTTATCATTGCAAAGTAATTTACCTCATTTGCACAGCCACATATACGGAAAAAACTTCTTCTACTTAATCTCTTATAAGCTATATGGCGTAAAATTTTTCCGGCGTCTGGCGCTTGCCTATGGCTATATGGCTACGATCGGTAAGCATAATTATTCTCCCCATTATATACTGGCCTTGATCCGCCTACAAAAATATACACAACCTATAATGACCCCTTTAATTGGCTCATGCACATGCATGCACGCGCTGAAAAATATTTCTAAGAATCATTTGAAATAGCCAAGAGTTTTAAAGCAGGATGCTCAATGCATCTCCAAATTAATCAAATGATGAATGCGGTTGTATATGCCGAGTTTAACGCTACATTATATAAGAAGTCGATGCTATCTTCATAGACATAGAATTTATCTTCATGCACACACTTGTAAATCACGCCATAATTACAAGGTTGGATAATAATTCATACATGGGGATAGATTTTACGAACATTTATGTGCACTGATGCATCGCCACTAGCCTTCGCTGTAAGGATAAACTGAATTGAACTAGAGGAGTTCCAACATACACAAGCCTACATACACAAGTTTAAAATATTAATTTCTTCCTCAGAAAACTGATTTCAAAATTTACTGAGCATCTCACTAGAATGCGATTTTCAGCTTTAGTCAAATACAATTGTTTTCAAATTTCGCAAATATAGCTATACCCTTTAAATTATCTCAATTAAGAGTCCCCGGCGATGAATGTAGAATTTAGGAAAAATTCCTAAACGAAAATGCCGCATTCTATGATTAAAAGATCATGCCCTCATTTTCCAAGACTACATGTTGTTAGATACTTAGACTTAGTATACTATATGCATGCTAATCTGTAGAAAAGCATATTATTAGAACCAGAAAATAATCTATAAACTGTCTGTTTTGGTAGCATGTTGCTATAAATACCGGCAAAAACAGCCGGGTAAATATGATTAGATTGAGATGATGGCAAATTGTCACGATATTGAATTGTACACCACACGCACAGTGTTTTCATGAAAAACGTAGGCTTTTAAAGCCTGCATTGCATGTGTCTAAGTCGCGTTCCTTATGGAAAGGAAAGATTCACCTTCTCGAAGTCATGATAACATTTATTCCTTGCATGTAAAACAGTATTATTTTCTTTCATTTTGCTTTAAAATACATAATTTTTAATTCATGTTTATATTATAACTGCCGGGTAGGATGATAACTGTTCAGTATGCCTTTTAAATTTCTCTATCTCAATAAAGAGTCTCGATGAATGTAGAATTGAGGAAAAATTCCTAAACGAAAATGCCGCATTCTATGATTAAAATATCATGCCCTCATTGAATCATTTTCCAAGACTGCATGCATGTCGTCTGCTAGAGAGATACTTAGTATACTATATATATATGCATGCATGCTAATCTGTAGAAAAGTATATTATTAGAGTCAGAAAATAATCTATAAACTGGCTGTTTTGGTAGCATGTTGCTATAAATACCGGCAAAAACGCCTTTAATATGTTATCAGTGTATTTTATACCACAGTAAAATATGCTACCTTCTTTAAAACCTATTATTACCAAGAAAAATTTTCACGGTCTACCATGTTGAATGTTATTCTAGTGAATACATTGCATTTAACAGTGGGAACAAGATTTGTAGCTCTTGGATTATGCTAAGTCCTTTCGTGTTTTATAGTGGAATTTCATTATATCATATAACGCATGTTTTGACCATAATAAATAGCTGTACTTTGGGCGAGAGTTGAATTTCAAGTATGTTTTCATTTCCCCCTGATCAGTATGGCCAAACATAGACATATTGTCTATAGTTCATTGCATGTACATTCGGATTAAATAAGGCGGAGCCACGAAATTCAAATTCACAATCATCATCATTATCAACACTGACAACAGACGTTTGAGAGTATTGGGTTGCAGTGCCACTCATCTGAAGTTCGAAACCATATAGTCTAAACAACAGCTAGAATATAAACCATCGTTAAATTACTTAAATGTTCGAGTAAGATGAAATGAATATAGAATGAAAGATATTTGGGCTCTCACCAGTGTTATATGTCTTTAAAAGAATAAATGCAACTTCGAACAATTTTGGGAACAATGCTGATGCAAGGCGTCCAATATTTAAAGCACATGCATGGAAGTTACTTCCTTAAATAATATAACGACGGAATACAAACTTCGACGTGAATTCTGAGATCTAAAAAGAGATATTATGAAAATATAAGCGGCAGGTAGGTCTTATACTTCTATTGACATTTAGTTCCCTCTTTCGTGACTAGTTTACATGATTAGCACATGTCTTGTCACGAGCGTCAATTAATCGAATTCTAAAATATAATGCAATGCGTGCATGAGTTTTCTGAAACCTATGCAAATTCAGCGAAATTTCCTTACACTAAACAACACTAGAAAACAAAATAACTCAAAGTTTATTGTCTCCGTGTGTAAGTATTTCGTTGCACAGAGTTCGCACTTCCTTTTCGTGAACTCTATAGATTTTATTTACGAATATTTTTGTCATGTTTCCAATATCCACTGAAATCATATATACGCACCTCATATTATTATAGAGACGGTGTATCGACATAGCTTAAACAACTCATGAATTATTGTAGAAATATTTACTTTCTTCAATTATCTGAACGGAAAATTTATACACTTCATAACATATCATTGTTGACAGTCACAATCTCTGCTCGCAGAATGCTTCCATTAGCCTTTCTTTGTTCTATGACTATGCATGTATTTTTTAAGACATGCAATACGTACTACTTGTCAAAATATGCAAAACATGCCCATAGCAATGTTCATGGACAAGGAATTTATACAAGAAACTCCTCAAAATCAAATATGATATACAGCAGTCAATGCTATATATGCATGTAGGCGATTTGGCACGAGTGTAGAGCTGTAGAGTTTTGAACACATTTGGTTTTCGTAAGGACTGACTGTGAAAGTAGTTCGTTATATTCCTGTTAGATTAACTTGTCAATTAGACAAAACTATAGCACTGATTAGCCTAGTAAAATTGGACAGAGTATGACCATGGCATTTGCATGTATAGTTTCGATGTTTCGAGCAAAGCCTTTCGTTTGAAAGTTAGTCCAAGGAGTATAGCTACGTATAGCCGCGATCAACCGGCTATATATATGCAATAAACAACAGAAAAAATAATGGAAAAAAGGGTATGAATAAGAATGCAAGGGACAGCTTTAGTCGATATATGTATGTGCTGCGAAATTTCGAAAATCGAAAGTGATTTTCGGCACTTACTCTGTAATATTGTATAATAAATGAAATTATTTACAAGAAGATAGGGGTATTTACAATGTGGTACGGTAGAACAGTTAACAACATGGCACAAATGACAGATGTTGCAAATGTATAGAACTATAGATGTGCATAGATGTTTCTATCGTCGCATATAGGCTAAATTAAGGCAGGATTAGAAGAACGAAAGTGTGTTATACGTCGTTCTCGTGAGTTTGCTAATCTTGTTTTAGTGCATCAAGTTTCTTAATTCCGCGTCCGCGTCCTCGATCTAACTCTTCCTAGCTTTTATTTATAACAAAATATAAACTCTTCCTCTTCGTAAATACCAACTCGATCGTCTTTTTAACGTTGAGTTAAAACAGCTCTAGGATAAATTGTCCCCCAAACATAAACAAGTGATGATTCCTACGTAAACATGCGGATTGGACAAGTGATTAAAGACATTACTCTCGGAAACACGGGTCTTCTGGAACTTCTTCATGCTATTGTTTAAGTCATAATTGCATAGAGGAATAGCATTAGATCATTAATACAATACGATCAGTTTCATATATGTAGTAGGTTTAGTGAATCATAAGAGACCGGATTTCGTTTAAGTTTATCATTGTTTTCAGGCAAACGATGCTTCATGCGTTGACACAAGTGCGTCGTACACTTGAATGCATGGATCTAGAAAGTTCGATCGTCTCATCGAGATTCTGAGTATCACGACTGATTAAATTGGAAGAGGAATCTCTGTTGAACTATACGC